ACATATAGAATGTAGTTCTAGAGTTTATACACTGTTTGAGGAAATGTTACAGATTTTAGATTTAATCTAAGTTCTTGTTAAACTGGAGCAGCTCTCACTTGTTTATTCCCTGGACTTCATCTTCTCTCCATCCAAGTACACAACTCAACTACATATAGAACACAGCTCTACTGTTTATAGATAATAAGGAACTGTTACAGATTATAGATTTAAGTTCAATATTCTTTTACATGTTAAACACACGTCAACCAATTCTAGTCGACACTGCCTTTGTAGAGTAGCGTAGTTCTTTACCAATGTGTTGTCATACTGTAGATAAATATAGTGGAGAAGAACTTTAAAGTAACATTAAACAGAAATACTCAAGTACCTCCAAACTGTGCTTGAGTACAGTAATAAGTTCAAACATTAGAGAAGAAAGCAGAGACGCAATAAACAGGAGACAATGTGTGTATAGTGCTGAAATCATGCTTTATTAAATCAGTAATGCATCAAACTCAAGGAGGATGAAATAAAGTTCTAATCAACGATCAATAAATCAAAGTTCAGGGTTCAACCTCTCTCTCACAGGAGATGGAGTCGCTGTGCAGAGACCCCGACTAACTGACAAGGTGAAACGACTAAAAGCTACAAACACTCAAACACACAAACGCTAGCTATCCTCCGAGAGATGGCGCTGCTCCTGCACAGCAGAGCCGGCGTGGACTTCCTGTTTGTTTAAGGCCAGGAGATGTTATGTTTTTAAGAAGCCGGTCCGGCCGTCCTGTGCCAGAAGCAGCGCTCTTTATTAAAATGATCTAAACGCTGAGAGTGCAGGCCGCTCGCACTCACAGTCGGTCATCAAATCACGGTGGTGTGACGCAGTCAGTCTGAGCACAAGGCCGTTCACGCTGCTTACATGAGGGTGATGCAAACAGCGCTCAGGGTCTTACGCTCACGGTACAACTCATAGGAAACTGTAATATCTCACGCACAGACGCGTGTCCAAAACAATAACTTTGTCTTTCTGTTTGTGGTTCATAACGTCAGCGGGGAGCCTCTCTACCCGCTGAGGCAATCTTAAAGACTTCAACTTATCGTTGAGGCACAGAGTTTAGTTTCTCAGTTTAACAGGGTATTCGTTCCAGTGAAACTTTCTCCTGTGAAAACATTTGTTCTTTTGTTTCTGTTAATATTATTGTCATAAATAACAATGCATACATTTCCCATAACCGTTAAATTCGGCTATATACATTATGTACATGTCACAGAAAAGTGGTTCAAAAATCCTAAGTCATATTGTCCAATATGGCACATTTTATAACAACTTTAGACTTTAGTCTAGTTTGGCATAAATTAATGTCAAGTTTGGTACAAAAATAGTTCATATTTACAAGAACAGAAATCCAGATCTTTATCAAGTATTATTGTTGCTAATTCACTAAATAAAAAGGTTCTGGATGAGGGAACAGGGGGTATAAATTAACTTTTTTTTTTTTTTTTTACATGGACCGAATGTGAATGTTGACGGTTGCCACATCTGAGCCAAGCTCGTTGGACAGTCGGAGGGTGTACGCTCCGGCGTCGCTCTCCTTCACCGCAGAGATCATGAGGGTGGAGAGGTCGGCGCTGTTCTCCACGTGGAACCGCTCGTCCCCATTGGGGAGGGTCCTACCTGAGCGGACCCACTGAACGGAGGGCATGGGGTCTCCAGAGAACAGCCCTGCCACAGTCAAGGACTTGCCAGGCTCGGCACTGACGTTCTCCGGAAGAGCTTCGATCTTTGGTGGAGTGCCTGTTAGTGAAGAGAAGAACGAGGTCAGTAATGATATTGTCTCAGAAATAAGTCACAATGTTCAGACGGACATCAAATACGGTAGTTTTGACACTTTTTTCTTTTTTTCACAGTTTTTTTTAAACCGATCAGGGGAGGAGCAACGGAGGATATCGAAGTGATGGTGTTTAAAAAATCCTACATCAGAGCGCAGAAAAAACTTCTCTAAACTCAACCTCCCCTGGGTCAGAACCTCAGTCCACTTCTTCCTTTCCTGTACGTAGATATGCTATGTGCTAGGCTAATCTATGTTGGAAAGACAACCACATTTCGAACATGGTTCACTCCAGCTTTTAGTATCGGCTCAGCTCAAGAGTCGAGTCGTACCGAACAGTGGAAATTAGGTATAATGACCAACGAGTTAATCCTGCTGAGAGTATTTAAACAATCAACGTCTGACTGCAGACACAAGATTTGATGGTGCTACACGGCTATCTTCTGTAGTTTTTTACTCTCCGGGTCTCAGCAGGATGACTAGCAACTGAAGAAAAGTGTAACTCTGCATGAACAAATACACTCATCTCCATCGAAATGTATTTATCTTAGTCAGATTAGAGTGCCCTTCACGTCTCATCAAGCAAAATGAATTAAATAATCTACTTGACTGTTTTTTTCCCTCGTTTTGAGCAACAGAGTGTCGTCTTTAATCTCACATCACATTTATTCAAACAGATGCTCAGATCCTTCAAGGTGCACTTCCAGACAGGCAACTTGTAAAATGCATCTCACCTCTTTTAACCCCGGTGGTAAGGGCCCTCAGCGAGGAGGAGGACGAGGAGGAGGAGGACTTGACATGCGACTGAGCAGACATTTCCATCATTTGGCTGCTGGAGCTCATGGAAACCATTGACTCAGCCATCATGGCAGACATGCTAGTTGCAGACGTGCTCTCAAACGAATACTGGGCTGCGGCAGCAGCAGAGCGGGAGCTGCTGCTGAAACTGCCAGCCTCCATAAGAACTGATGAGGCAGATAAAGTCTTTAGCATGCTGGCAGCAGCGTCAGTAGAAGCTCTTTGCTCCACAATAATCATTTTTGTTGGTTCTTCAACAAGAGCTGCGAGAATGCAAATGACAAGCAGATGGCTCATATGACAATGTGCACAGGGACAGACATTGTATGCATACACTGAGTGGAAGCCTTGATTTCCATTTAAGGGTTTGAATGTTAAATTAGTTTGTTTTGGTGCAATCAGAGTTTTCATTTTTCATCACAAGCTTTAGGATCCAATTAAACACAATGAGGTGTGTTTAATTGTGTTTAGTTAAAAAACTGTTAGTGGAACTTACTGAGGACGTTGAGTGAGGATGTTGCAGAGCACTGTCCAAACTTGTTTTTGGCTTTTATTATGTATTTCCCGCTGTCTGCAACGGTGGCTTCACATATCTCCAGAGTGAACACATTCCTAGAGTGGCTCAGTCTGATGTTTGATGTGGCAGATATCTGCAAGAGACACAGTTTATTTAATGTACCTCCAGAGTAGTTTGAAGATAACTGGATCTCACATTCTGTCTTTATTAAGGAGAAAACTACTCACAGTGATGTTGTCTTTCAACCACTCCACTTCAGGGGACGACTCTCCCGCAATTTCACATGTGAATTTGACATTTTCTCCCTCATTCACATTCTGGGACCTGGGCTGCACCAGGAAGTGGGGTGCATCTGAGCCCTTGGCCCGCGGAGACTGGCCCTCAGTTATGGACATCTGGCTGTGGGAGGACTTGACCTCCATCACAGAGGACTGGACCTCTGCAGAGGTTAGAGCTTTTGTTTTGGAGCCTAAAACAGAGAAAAGAGTTTTTTCTGTTTGAATGTTTGTAGCTGGTGGTTATTGAAGGACTACGGACCCTTCCTAAGTCCCGCTCCTTTTTGTTCTGTGCTCCAAGTTGAGCAAACCTCTGTCAGAACCTCTGTGAACGTCCCCCTTTTCTGTACTTAGATATGCTTTATGCTAGGCTGTTGAAAAGACAACCACATTTTAAAGATTGTTAAAAGATTAAAGAGACATACATATACATAGAGTGAGCTAATGTTAGCAAAATGCTAGTTAACTAGCTAGCTAATATACATCAATCTTTACTTAGCTAGTTAGGTAGCATTTTGCTAATATTAGCTAACTTAAGATGTTTTCTGTTGCCTTTTCAACATAGATTAGCCTAGCACATAACATATCTAAGTGCAGGAAAGGAGGAAGTTGACTGAGGTTCTGACTGGGGCTTGCTCAACTGTTACAGAACAAAAAGGGGTGGGGCTTAGGAAAGGTAAGTTGCTTCCACATGCAGGTATTATCTTACCTTGCACAGTAAGCAAGTCACTTGGAGAAGTCACTCGTTGCTTCTCAGATGGAGTTGGGGATTTGGGAGTAGGTGACTTTGGTGTTGGGGATTTTGGTGTTGGGGATTTTGGTGTTGGGGATTTTGGTGAGACTGGAGACTTCACTCTCTGAGGTGACTTGACTGGCTCAGGGGATTTCACTCTCTGGGGAGATTTGACTGGTTCAGGGGACTTAGCAAGAGGGGACTTAGCTTCTGGAGAGGTGATTCTGGGAGGGGCAACTACTTTCTCCTTGGACTCAGACTTGCGGATTGTCAGAGTGAAATGGGCCTCTTGTTTGCCTCCAGCATTTTCCACCAGCACAGAGTAGCTGCCTTCGTCCGACATCTCAACAGCAGAGATCTCAAAGTGGGAGTTGAACTGAGTAGAGATGATGTGGTGACGGGCAGTGGAACCAATAACTGATCCTTCGTGCAGCCAGGTGATAGAAGGTGCTGGCTCGCCATCCACCTCACACTCAAATCTGACAAGATCTCCCTCCTCAACGCTCAGGGACAGTGGCTTGGTCAGGAACTTGGCAGGAACACCGGGCTTCTCCCTTGGCTTCTCAACAACAACAGTAGTACTGGACTCTGTCACAGTTTCTTTCACTGTTGTTTTAGAGGAGGAGGAGACATGATACTCCTCTGTTCTGGCCATATCTGGCAGATGGGAGGATGGAGGCTCCTCATCTTTGCGGAGTGAAGAGAAGGCAGCATATTCTGCTCCTGCTACATCCAATGTAGCATAGTCAGATGTCTCTCCCTTGGTGTTCCTGCAGACCACACGGTAAGTGCCGGAGTCCTCAGTCACACATTTGATGATCTGGAGAGTCAGAACCCCGCTGATGTTGGTCATGTAGTATTTGTTACTCTGATGAATCTCTTCTCCATTATGGAACCACTTGACCTCTGGCTCTGGTTTGGACTGGACATTTAGGGTGAACTTTGTGCTGGAGCCGTAGGGTACGCGATGAGATCGCAATCTGATGGTAATACGTGGGGCGTGGTCAAGGCTGAAGGGAGCTTGTGTCACCACCTCAACCTTCCTCTCCACTGATTTTCTCTCTGATCTCAGAGCCTGCTTTCTCTCCTCATACCTGGATGCAAAGTCAAATTTTGGGAGGGTCACATCTGTCTTGACAGCTTTTGCTGGGGCGGATGTCTTCTCGGGTTCAGGCATTGACACTTTCTTGATTGGTTTAGCAATATATTCTGAGGTGAAAGCTGTCAGGTGCTCAGATTCAACAGCTTCAGAGACTTTTGCAAAACTGACAGTTGTTTCCTTCTTTGTGGTTCGAGTCTTCTCCTCAAACTCAATGCGTTTGAGTTCACTCTTGTAAGAGGAGATTCTCTGAACAGTTTTGTGTGGACGCAGCAGCTCCTGATCTTCTCTGTCTTCGTACACCCTCTGCTTCTGTCTTGGAGCTCTGTATGTGGCTTTGTCGTGACGCTGGCGGAGGTCAACGAAACTTGGGCCAGCCTCGTATTTAGATGGAATTTTGTAGGAGTCATATCTGTGGATTTCTTCTCCCTCTTCATCCTCGCTGTAGACTCTTCTAGGAGATGAGGGACGCAGGGCAGACAGCTCAAAGCGGACTGGGCTGAGGCTAGGTGGAGAAGCAGAGTAGCCAAGCTCCAGCTCTTCCTCCAGACGGAGCCTCTCCTCCTCAGTTCTCTTCATGGACAGGTACTCATTCACCGGCAGCAACAGCTCTTCATCTGACAGGTCACCCAAGGACCTCCTCCTGATCCTGTGGTAGGCTTCCATCTCAGGAGAAGGAGTGCGGTGCCTTGCAGGCCTCACAGTCTCCAAGTCATCCTGAGTCATGGATGAGATGCGCCACTTAGGCTTATACTGGTCCTTGATCCTGATAGGCACCTCATAGAACTGCTCCCACCTGGAGAGGCGAATGCGCTTCATCCTCTTCTGCTTGATTTTCTCCATAGGCTCAGGGAACTCATACTGATCCCGCAGCTTCTTGTACCATTTCATGTCAGAGAGTGGCTTGAAATGTTTTATTTCCACATCCTCCTCAAGAACAGCTGGGTTAATGACACGAGGAGTAGGGACGTCATAGGGCATACGCAACCTCTTCTCATCTGCCCGCTTCTTCTTTTCCTCTTTTTCTTTCTGTATCTCAGCATCAGTCTTCTCACCCTTCTTAGTTGTCACAGCAGGTTTAAACATGGTGGCTGCTTCCCTGACAGCTTGTACTGCTGCAGGTGGTAGAGGTGTAACAACAGTGCCAGTCATAATCTGATAGAGCCTCACCTTTTTGTCTAATTTCTCCTGTCCAGCTAACTTTTGTTTCTCCTTTTCGCTGGGCTCATATTCCTTCTGTACATGGGTGACGCGTTCTACTTTAAGTGTGGCCTGACAACTGGCAGATCCAGCAGAGTTGGTTGCAGTAACTCTGTACACGCCAGAGTCCTCAGGGAGAGTGTCTCTCACATGAAGGATGAAGTAATCCAGACCTTCATGGACAACCTCAATAGATGGTCCAAAGGCTAATGGCGTGCCGTCCTTCTCCCACTTCAGTGTGGGGTGGCCGGATACTCTAATCTCAAAGCGCACATTCTGGCCCTCTCTGCACTCTACGTTTGCGAGTAGACGTTTGAACATGGGCCTCAGGGTGAGGTCTGCTGGTTTAGGTCGAGGAACAACGGTAAGACGAGCCTTGCAGCTGTCATCACCGTACCTGTTGCGGGCCACAACACTGTACTCAGCATCATCTTCCTTATCAAGGCTGTGGATAATCAGCTGGTACAGGCCCTTGTCACTGATGAAGGTGTATTTCCTATCATCCTGTCCAGGGATGAGCTTCTGTCCAGACTTGTGCCAGATGACACGAGGTTCAGGATGAACAGTGATGGTGACACCAAAGCGCACATCCTCACCAATGTAGGCTGTATGGTTGAACAGAGGAAGGGTGAACTCTGGTGGCTTCTGAAGCATTCTGGCAGTGTCAACTCTGCGCTTTGTTTTCTTGACCACACGGGTGGTGAAGAAGTCGCGGTAACATCTTACACCATGGATAAACAGCTCTGCGTAGGCACTGTCCTCACCATACTCATTCACAACCTTGCATCTGTAAGTGCCATCATCTGCTCTTGTGATCTTGTTGATGGTGATTACAGCCAGGCCATCCTCGTATTCAATTTCATATTTATCACCAGCTTCAAGTTGTCTGACGCCACAGTACCATGTCACTTCAGTAGTGCTATCATAGTTTTCAATGTTGCAGGTGAATTTCACACTGTCTCCCTCATTCACCACAGCATGGCCAATCTGTCCTCCAACAGGACCGTTTTCAAATGGAGCAATCTTTACCTTAGCAACAAAAACACCACGCTGGGACCTGATGGAGCCACCACTGGCCACACGGGCTACAGAGACGACAGTGTTCCACTCTTTCTTCACCATTGTTTGGTAGTATCTCTTGTGCCTGCCGGTTGGGATCGCTCTTGTGCTGATCTCCTCTGCAGGCTTGGTCAGCCAAGGATGTGCCAGAGCCTCAGCAGCAGTCATACGGTGCTTGCGTTCCTTTGTCATAAGGCGGTCTGTGAAGTCTAATGCCTCAACGCTGACCTGCTTGAAGGACTCATCATCGTAGCTGTAGACTGCATTGGAGATGTTGTCAATCATCTGTTGGTTGGTTTCTGCTGTGAATGGATTAAGTCCACTGAGGAGAACATAGGCAAGAACACCAACCGACCACATGTCAGTGACAGAGCTAACCATGTCACACTGGTGGATCTCAGGGGCAGCGTACTCTGCAGTGGTGTACTGAATCTTGATCTGTTCTCCAGGAGTCAGGTGTCTGGACTGGCCCAACTCAATAATCTTTACATTAGAGCTGGTTCTAGTTGTGTACACAATGTTCTCAGGTCTGATATCAAAGTGTCCATAGCTCTGTTCGTGCATGAACTCAATAGCTGAGCAGATCTGCCGGATGTAGTTGACAATCTCATGCTCATTAAGTTCAAACTCAGCTGTGTTGAGGCGCTCGAAGATGTCAGCACCAGAGATGAAGTCATAGATCATCACCAACTCCTCAGGACTCTCGAAAGACTCGTGGAGGAGGAGGTAGTTAGTGTGTTTGGCAAGATTTAGTGTTGCGATTTCCTTCTTAACTATTGCTTGATCAGCACCCCTCACTTTGATGAATTTAGCCATGTAAGTCTTCTCAGAGCTGAGGTCCATACAACGGTGGACAATGCCAAATTGACCTCTACCCAATTCCTCTGCAATGGCATATTTGTTGTGCAGATTCTTGGCATCGGAGTGTTGAGCCTTACCCCTGGGTACACGTCCAGTATCGTCAACCTCCCTATCATAGAGCAGAACTCTCGATTTGTCCTCCTTGGTCATAACAGGTCCGCTAGTCTCAGACGGAGCACTCTGTCCGAACTTGTTTTCAGCGATGACTCTGAACTGATAGCTGGTACCTCCAAACAGATTGGTAATGGTGTAACGGGTGTCACGGGACTGGGCAACACGCTGCCATCTCTCAGCAGTGGTGGGACACTTCTCAATGATATAGCTGATGACCCTGCTGCCGCCGTCATTTGCTGGGGCCACCCAGTTCAGTGTAACTGAGTCTCTGGAGACGTCACTGGCTTTGATTCCACGTGGAGGATCAGGCACGTCAGCAACATCCAGTTCAACTGTCTGCTGGTCAATTCCAAATCTGTTCTTGGCACAGACGATGTAGAAACCAGCATCCTTCTTCTCCACTCCATTGGGGAAAACTAAAGAAGTGAAAGATCTGGTGACGATGACCTGGTAATGGCCATTGCTGTCAATGAGATCTTGTCCCTTCTGCCATGTGATGACAGGATCTGGTTTGCCTCCGAAAGGAATCTTGATATTGACCATTTCTCCACGCAGGGCAGGGATGGCTTCCTTGTCCTTCAGGTTCTTTGGCAGGTGGATCTTGGCAGGGACTAGAAATGAGATAAATAGTTTAAGTGAGTTGTCATTTTTTTATTTGAATTTAAAAATTACAAATAATTCACATTATTTTGTCAGTGCTAGAAAACAGTGGTCTATTTGTAAAAAAGTGGATATCTGTAAACTTACTTTCAACATCCAGAGAGATTGTAGCACAGATGGAGCCTCCCTGGTTGGTGGCCCTGATCTGGTACACAGTGGAGTCTTCCTCATCAGCCTCAGTGATGACCAGCTGGTGGTAACCTCCCTTGAACTCCTGGATCTTGATCTTCTTTCCATCAGACTGGATTTCCTTTCCTCGTCTGAACCATTTGATCACAGGCTTGGGTTGTCCTGTGATCTTACAGACAAGGGTAGCATTGCTCTTGTACTTGACACTCATGTTCCTCAGCTCTTCCTTGAAGGCAGGAGCACGGACATCAACGGCAGTGGCTGGAATAATGGATGCAGTCTCCTCACTGTAGTCGCTCTGTCCTCCAAGGTTCTCGCACTTCACACGGAAGATGTACTCGACACCCTCGGTCAGACGCTTGACGGAGAAAACTGTCTGTTTGATCTCGTCTGTGGTCACTGGAGTCCAATCGGTCCATTCCTTCTTGTCCTTCTTATTTTTCTTCTCAAGGCAATAGCTCTTGATCTTGGAGCCGCCATCGCTGAGTGGAGGCCTCCAGGAAACCACGCAGGAGTCCTTGGTAATTCCAGAAACAACTGGGGACAGAGGTGGTGATGGTTTCTCTGTGGAAAAGAATATACAAATCAGAAACCGCTTTCGGTCCTTTTTCCCAGTGTACCTGGGTATTGATATGGTGTATTACAAATCTATGCTTTTACTGTTAGACATGAATTAATGAAGTACTTTAAACATCAATTGGTATTGGATTAATTTACCCAGTTGGCTCTTAATAAGGATAGGTGAAGCGAGCTCCAGTGGTTCGCTGTTGCCATAGCGATTCTGGGCGTATACACGGAAGAAGTATCCGGCACTGTCGATGAGGTTGGGTACACGGCAAGATGTGCCATTGATGGATGACGACACCAGTTCCCACTCAGTGCCTTCCTTGTCCTCACGCTTCTCTATGATGTAGTTGGTGATCATGCAGCCTCCGTCATCCTTGGGAGGCTTCCAGCTGATGATAACAGAGTTCTTCAGGAGGGCATCCAGTACAATGGGTCCCTGAGGCATGTCAGGTTTGTCTGTAAACAGAGGTATTAGATATTAATTATAAATATAATATCACCCTTAAACATGTATGCTTTGTTGCACTCACTGCAGTACATGTACATTAACATACCATAAATTTCAACATTGAATGCGGTGTCAACCCTGCCGAAGTGGTTGTGCAGTCTGATCCTGTATTTGCCTCCATGGACTCTGCGTTGCACGTTCTTGATGATCAGGTGTGTGTAGTGCTCAGTGGTCTCAATGCTAATATCCTCTGTGTTCTCCAGGGTCTTTGCTCCATGCAGCCACATGATCTTTGGCTCAGGACGGCCGATGTAGACAGCGTGGATACGCAAAGTGGTTCCCATGCCAGCATAGTATGTGTTTTTCAGTGGGTAGTCGGGGTGGAAGGATGCAGCAGCCTCCAACACTAGGACGCCTGTGGTCTCAGCTTCTCCGGCGTCGTTAATGGCCTTGCAGGTGTACTCTCCCTCATCCTCCTGCTGGTCAGTCATGATAGACAGGGAGTGGTTGCGGCCGTCAGAGCTCATCTCGTACTTGCGGGACTCAACAACCTCTTTACCAGCATGATACCACTTGATGTCAGGGACAGGTCTACCAATAATCTGGCACTTCATGACAGCAGGCTGACCAAGCTTAGCAGTGACTTCATCCATTTCCTTCCTCAGGCTTGGTTTAGTTTCAACTGTATGTACAAAACAGGTAGGAGGTATATTTAGGAAACATTTATTACGTTTAGTAATGTCTCTTGGTGAGGTCACTCTGGGCAAGCAAGTTGGGTAAATGCCTACAATTCATTTTCAAATAGTTTATTTTAATGTACTCACCACTCAGTTTGGTCTTGATGCACGTGGCAGTCCTACGAGGTCTACTCATTCCTGTCTCATTCTCAGCAAACACTCTAAACTCATACTCTGCAGCCTCAGACAGTCCACGCATGGTTAACTCCTTTTCCTTCAGCCTCTGCTTGTTGCACTTCTTCCAGGTGCTCTCGATGGACTTCCTGTACTCCACCCAGTAGCCCAGGACCTCCTTTCCACCATCACACTCTGGAGCTTGCCAGCGGATGGTGATGAAGTTGTTTGACACGTTCACTGTGTCAATCTCACCTGGTTGGCTTGGTTTGTCTGGAAACAAACAAACAAGTTACCTTAATTAACAGTTGCTTTTGTGACTTACTGAGGCTAAAAATGACCACTGCATGGCTTTTCTTATTCTGGTCTGTAAAAATGTGATCAATTGATGAGATTTCAAATCTGATTGCTCCGTGTCCATCAAAAACCCCTATAACAATTACGGTTCTATTGATCGGTAATTACATTTTATCTCAGACTCACCGAATGGATCCTTGCATGTGACTGGGTCAGATGCAGGACCAGCTTCGCTCTCGCCGATGCTGTTGACAGCAACAATGCGGAACTGATAGTCTGCATCGGGGGTGAGCCCAGGCAAAGTAAACATGGTGGAGGTGATCTTGGTTTCGTGGCGGGACCATGTCTCTGCGGACACCAGTTTGTACTCAATAAAGTAGCCAGTGATGGCAGAACCACCGTCGTCCTTTGGTCTGGACCAGGCCAATGCCACAGAGCTCTTTGTGACGTCCATGATCTCTGGTGGGGTGCTTGAAGGCTCAGGAGGACCTGGTTTGAAAAACACAAATTATTTTTTGAGTCATTACTGAATGGTCTCAGACCATTCAAAGACACTAAACACTGAAGAAGAGGAATACTTACAGATAGGAGTCGTGGGAACCAGTGGTTGCTCTGATTTCAGAGAGGAGCTGACACCGAAGGAGTTTTCAGCCGTGACCTTGAAGTGGTACTCTGTTCCCTCCTTCAGGCCCTTGACAACCAGTGTAGTGTCAGTCACTCTTGAGTCCACGGTGTACCAGGCGTTTCTGGCTGCCTCACGTCTTTCTACGATGTAACCCAGGATCTCTGAGCCACCATTGTCTGTGGGCGTCTTCCAGGACACCTTGACAGAGTTAGCCTGGATTTCCTCAAAGACTAATGGTCCCTCAGGAGCGCTTGGGCGGCCAATGACGTTCACCTTGATTTGGGCCTTTTTCTTGCCAACCCTATTCTCCAGCAAAAGGTCATACACGCCAGAGTCGCTCCTATCGGCTCCCTTGATCACCAGCTCGCTGGCGTCCTCGGTGGAGGCAATCATAGCCTTGGTGGAGATTGCACCAGTATCCTTCGACCACTTGCAGGTTGGTTGAGGTTTACCCTTGATGGGTACAGAGAGTCTAACCACTCCTCCCTGGCGAACCACATACACGGCTTTGTATTTGAGCTCCAGGTCATAGTCAGGAGATTCTGAAGAACAATGATAGTTACAAAAGTAATTTTCTAGCTTCTTTCTATTCTATTCTAGTTTTAAACATGCAAATGATGGTGTAGTTAATACAATTTCTGTGTCCTTACCAAGCATCTCAGTCACAGTAACAGTTCCAGGCACTTCAGCAGGCTCTCCAGAACCACCAGCATTGCAGGCCATCACACGGAATTTGAACTCCTCTCCTTGTGGCATGTTGGTCAGTGTGTACTCGCAGATTAGAGATGGTGTGGTGTTGCACTTGATCCAGGCCATGGTGCCCACCTTCTGCATCTCAATCAGATAACCATCCACCCTTGCGTCTCCCTCATCGTCAGGAGGACTCCAAGCCAGCGACACAGAGGATTTGGTGGTATCTGTGATTCTCGGGTTCTGAGGACAGCCAGGTGGATCTGAGAGGGGAAGAGGTGATATAATGAGTCTGTGCTTGCTCTTGTAAGGCTTTCAGTGCCACCCATTGTAACTTTGAGTTTTTATCTAAAGACATCTAAAAATATATAAAACAAAGCTTTTTTTATCAAACTGTCTCTTACCAATGGGATCTGTTGCCACTGCTGGTTTGGATGGCAAACTTGGTTTGCTCAGTCCTCTGGCATTGATGGCAGTGATTCTGTGTTCATACTCCAGGCCCTCAATCAGCTCAGTTGATCTGTATCTGGTCATGGTGATGGGGTTCTTGTTGGCACGCACCCATCTGTCAGACCTGACTTCTTTGCGCTCGATAATGTATCCAGAAACCTCAAGGCCACCGTCTTCATCTGGTGGGTTCCAGGCCACGGTCATGCCATCACGAGAAACATCAAAGATGGTTGGACGGCCAGGAGGTCCAGGCACATCTGTGGGGGAGGGGAAACATGTTACGATACTTCTGTTGACACATTGGCTAAATGTGTAACCTTAATTAAAAGCCCGAAGTCTTACCATTCAAGCTTTTGCAGGTGACGATCTCAGACTGCAAGAAGTCTCCGGTGCCGTAGCGATTGATGGCAGCTGCACGGAAGACATACTCATCTCTCTCAATCAGGTTCTCAAACTTGAAAGTTGGTCGGCTAACAGATTCACAGACTGGCACCCAGCCGGGTCTGTGAGCATCACGCTGCTCCACCACGTAGCCACTGATGGGAGCTCCGCCATCTCTGACTGGAGGATCCCAGCTGCAGGTGACGGTGGTGGCATCAATCTCATCAAACCTGATGGGTCCCTTTGGTTCATCAGGTTTAGCTGGTAAAAGGGATTAACAAAATTAATGGTTACAGTAGTATTGTCAATTTAGAAATAACTCAATCAACAATAAATAATAAAACAAAAATAACAAATGAGGGATGGTTTCTTACAGAGGATGACGACCTTGATGATCTCACTGATAACACCAACGACATTCTTCACCTCCAGGGTGTAGTCACCAGTGTCGTCGATGGTGGTGTCAGAGATGGTCAGTTTGGAGAATTTGCCAGTGCTCTTGATCTTGACACGGTCTGTGATTTTCAGCTTGTTATCACTGAAGTACCAGGAGCAGACGGGAGGAGGCCTGCCGACGATGGGCAGGTCAAGCTCCAGAGTCTTGCCGGCCAGGACATTGACAACCTTCTGAGGAATACTGGAGAAGTCCACCACAGGCATTACTGGGAGGTAAAGAGAAAGATACAATTCAATTCAGATACAATTAGTTGTTTACATCAACAGTTGAGGAATAGATTGTGAACTGAGCTAAATGTTACTGCCGGGCAGATTACCAAGTTTCATTTCAGAAAAGCAACCTAATTTTTTTCGTGAAAACCATGTACTTTAAAACAATGTACATGATTTTGCCTAAACTAATTTAAAGACATGTATGTTCGACTACAGGAAGCAACTTTTTTTATGTTACCTCTCTGTTCCTGTACCGTGACGGCTGCCACCATCTCTTTGGGCTCGCTGGCTCCTCTACTGTTGATTGCTTTGATTCTGAACAGGTACTGCTCCTTCTCATTCAGCTTCTCGATGGTGTGCTCAAAGTCTGTCATCTTCAGTGTAGCCACCTTCATCCACTTGTCCGTGCCGAACCTGCAGGCTTCGATGACGTAGCCCGTCAGCCTGCTGCCACCATCATGCTCTGGCTTCTCCCAGCCCAGGATGACAGTGCTCTTGGTGACATCGATCACTTCTAGCTTGTGCGGTGGCAAAGGTACCTCACAGACCAGGATGACGTCGGGAGTCTCGCAGGGCTCACCGATACCATAAATGTTCTCAGGGAGGACCCGGAAGTAGTACAGCATACCCTCCATCAGGCCGTCGATCTTGTACGATGTCTTACTGCACTTAGAGGTGACAGTCTTGTAAGCTCTCATGGAGGCCTCACGCCTCTCAATGATGTAGTTGTTGACAGGAGCACCTCCATCCACAGTTGGGGCATCCCAAGAGATGGTAACAGACTCCTTGGTCAGCTCTTTGATCTTTATTGGTCCAGTTGGTCCAGGAGTATCTAATAATGGAAATATATCAAAACAATAAATAGTAAAATAAGTTTAAAATGTGTCACTTTAGAAAATATATTAGTTTTGTCCTGTGTAATGCCCTGTGACATTGCCATCAACTTACCATAGACCTTGACCAAAATGTTGACTTCCTGTTTCCCAGCAGAGTTCTCAGCTACCAGTGTGTATTTGCCAGCGTCATAGCGATGGACCTTATCGATGATGAGCGTGGTGGATGTGTTAGTGACTTCAATGAATCCTCTGTTGTGGAGGTCAACACCAGGCTTACTCCAAGAGAGGGCGGGAGTGGGACGACCGCTGATTTTTACGAACAGGCGGAGTGAGCCACCAGCACGCAAACAAATGGTCTTCTTCAGGTCATCGTGGAGCTCAAAGTCGGGAGTTTCTGTGTGAGCAAAGGGGAGGATTATGGCTTGAAATGTTGGGAATTTAAACTTAAAAAAGACTAGAGCTAATAATATTTACTCAACTGACTTACAAGTGAAACCAAATTTTAACCTGCTGTGAATGTTGATTTTTAAGTTTTTTTATGTTGTGTTTTTTAATCACTGTATCAATGTATGTTTGTTGCTGTAGCTGTTCTAATATCTCCTCTCTTTCTCTAATAAATTAACTGAAACTTGGTTGCTCAGAAGTTGCAATCACTTAATGCTTTTTCAGATGACTTACCAATTCTTTCCACTGGCTCAGTCTCAGCACATGGTTCACTGAAGTCTCCTGTACCATTGATGTTGATGCCAGCCACTCTGAAGCAGTACTTCTTGCCTGCAGAAAGTCCTGTCACAACGTATTCTGTACCACGCAGGGTCTTTTCATGGGCCTTCTTCCATTCCTCTGCTCCAGCCTCCTGCATCTCCAGGATATAACCCATCACATCGGCTCCTCCGTCCTCCACAGGGTGGGACCAGGCCAGGCTGATGCTGTCAGCGTGGGTGTCAGTGATACGCGGGATAGAAGGAGGAGCAGGGGTGCCTGACAGGAGAGGATACAGGAATGAAGATCAATAGATCTGATGTGTTTATGGACATGGTCGCCCCCTAATCATGTTACAAAAGACAAATCTAAAAAGAAAAAAAATGTTTGAGATCTTCAGTTGCATTTAGGTATTTTGAGTTTAAAAAACAGACTTACATGTTGGCACTCTGCACACAACATACAGAGAAACCTCGCTGGCTTCACTCTCTCCGGCCTTGTTGATGGCTGTCACTCTGAACTGGTAGATGTTGCCTTCGGTCAGACCGCACACCTTCATCGTGGTGTCCAGATGAGATCCGTCTCTGTTCACCTTCACCCAGCGGGCACTCTTTCTCTCACGCCTCTCCACCAGGTAGTGGATCAATGGGCTGCCGCCATCGCTCTCTGGCTTCAGCCACTCGATAGTGGCAAAGTCCATTCCTGACACCAGGATCTCTGGAGCACCAGGAGGAGTTGGCACCGCTGGAGGAAAGTAAAGATAATTCAGGGTCAGAAATTATGAGGATTTAATTTGTTATTGCTCTGAGGGAAGATTTGACTCAGAGATATTTGGCATATTATACTTTTAAAGCAGTGTTTACTGGTGTTATTTCACAATGAGCTGACTGTTGCACTTACTGAAAGTGTTTCTGGCAACCATGGGTTCTGACTGGAGGCGGACTCCAGGTCCGTACTTGTTCACTCCACAGACTCTGAACAGGTACTCGGTATTCTTGAACAGCCTGGTGATGTTGCAGGTCAGCTCCTTGCACTCTGCGTCCATGATGACCCAGTTCAGTCTGTTGGTGTCACGCCTCTCTACAATGTAGTGGGAGATCTCATCACCGCCGTCCTCAAGAGGAGGCTTCCAGCTCAGTGTGCATGACTCTTCTGTGATCTTGCTAATCTCAATGATGCCTTCACATACCCCGGGGGTATCTGGAAAAAAACAGATGTATTCATTGTACTCTACTTTGCGTAACCAAGACAAATTAATACTTCAAGTATAAAATTGCCTGAAATGCTTGAAAAACAAAGCACTCTCACATACCAAGCACTTTGACGTTGACCTCAGCAGTCTTGGTTCCGCTTACGTTCCTGACTGTCAGGATGTACTTTCCTGTATCATCTCTGTCACATAACTTTATAATAGCCATGGCCCTGGTGGGGGTGTACTGCAGGTGGTACTTTTCACACAACTCCAGCTCCCTGTTGCCCTTGGACCAGGAAGCCTTGGGGTCAGGCCTGCCTCCCACTGCAGCATCCAGTACCAGATCTGAACCAGCTCTGACCATCACAGTTTCGGACAGCAGTTTACTATCCAGCTGTGCCTTTGGAGGCTCTGTTGGGTGGAAAAAAGGACATGGTTACAAAAAAAATAATGATAGGACTCCTTTGCTCAAAAGTCAAAAGTATTAAAGAGTGCTGCATTGGTGGTACTGTATCACGATTACAGAGGCAGATCTTACCAAAGTCCGTCTTGCACTGCACAGAGCCGGTAGACTCTGAGGGCCTGCTGAAGACCTGGTTGGCATTCTTGGCGATGACTCTGAACTCATAGGGCTCTCCCTCTCCCAAGGCAGTAACAGTGAAGAAAGTGTCTGTCACGTTGGTGTAGTTGCACTTGAGCCAGCGGCCCTCACCGGTCAAAGTGTACGGCTTACGCTCGATAATGTAGCCCACAATGGGACTGCCACCGTCGTTCAGTGGAGATGACCATTTGAGGGACACTGTGGTTCTTGTGACATTTGTGACTTCTGGCTTATTTGGTGGATCTACAAAAGCACAAACATTTTGTCAGACAGGTTGGACAATGGAGTATTAAGTAAAAAGCCACTGGATAGTGTGATCCTAAACTGTGTTAAAACTCACCAACTGGGTTTTGAGCAACTGCTCCCTTGGAGGCCTCACTGGCTTTGCTTAGTCCAGCACTGTTCATGGCATAAACCCTGAACTGGTATTCCAGGCCTTCAACCAGACCCTCCACCTTGTAGTAGCACTCAAAGCAGGGGATCTTGTTCTCTCTCACCCACAGAATGTTGTTCCTCTCCTTCTTCTCAATCCAGTAGCCAGTCACCTTGCTTCCACCATCATGGTAGGGCTCTTCCCATTTCAGGGTCATTGTGTTAGCAGAGACATTGAAGACTGTAGGCCTTGTTGGTGGGCCAGGAGGTGCTGTTTTAAAAAAAGATATTTTGTTGTTGAGTGCATTCCACTACATTCTAGCCTGAATCAGTAGAACACATTTTTTTGGCATTAATAGTCTAAGAAATGCAAAACTGTTATTTATCATTCATAAGTTAAAAGGCTGTAGTACTTACTGAAAGGATGCTCTGCAACAATAGTCTCAGACTCAGTGTGCTTGCTGACACCAAATCTATTCTCTGCAGAGACTCTGAATGTGTACTGCATGTACTTGGTCAGATGACTGACGTTGAGAGATGTGCGCTTTACGCTGGAGTTGATCAGCTGCCAGGCAGTGGAGCCAGACTCACGCTTCTCCACAATATAGTTGGTGATGTCCGTGCCACCGTCATCCTCTGGTGGTTGCCAGTCAATGACGCAGGACTCAGAGGTAATGGATGAGACTTCGATGGGTCCGGTTGGAGGACTAGGTCTACCTGTGACATTGACATCAATAGCAAAGGTCCTGGTTCCTGCCACGTTCTCCAGGGTCAGATAGTATTTACCACCATCTCCTCTCATGGCCTCCTTAACTGAGATACTGGTTCTGTTCTTAGTTACTTTGATAGTGACTCTGTCTGTGTTCTTCAACCTCATCTCTTCCAGCTTCCAAGTGACCTTAGGAGCAGGTCTACCACTAATAGGAACGTCAATAGTGAAGGTACTGCCTGACTTGCTTGTGATTAGCTGGTTGGGGATCTCGCTGAGGTCAGCAGCAGGTTCAATGTGAGGCTCTTTAACTAACGCAGCAACCAGAGTTTCCCTGGGCTTGCTGTAGCCGGATTCATTCTTAGCCTTCACACGGAAGTCATACTCATCACCCTTGTTGAGCTTTTCAACCATATAGGTGAGATTGGTGGTGTTTCCAACCACTACCCATTTGTCTGTACCCTTTGGCTTAGCCTCAAGGACATAACACTGGATGCGGCTACCGCCATCATGCTCTGGTTTCAGCCAGCCCAGTAGTACAGAGTTGTCTGTGGTGTCCAGGATGTCCATTCTCTTTGGAGATGCTGGCTCTGCAGTGGCAATGACAGGCTCAGTCAGCTCGAACGCCTCACCAATACCATGATGGTTCTCGGCTGAGACTCTGAAGAAGTATGGCACTCCTTCCAGCAGGTCCTGGATCTTTAGGACATGCTGGGTGCAGTTGCCACCAGACTGCTGCCAAGTGCGGCGGCTAGCCTCGCGTCTCTCAACAATGTAATGATGTATCCGGGCTCCACCGTCATTTAGAGGAGTTTCCCAGGCAAGTGTGACCGTGCCTCTGGACACCTCCTTGAAGACAACAGCCTGAGGAGGTCCAGGAGTGTCCATCACCTTTACAGTGAATGTAATGGCCTTGCTGCCACTACTGTTCTCCAGGTTAACAGTGTATTTGCCTGAATCGTTTCTTGAGCAGTTTTCAATGCTTAGAGAGCTGTAGCCATCTGTAGTTGTGATCTCTGACATGACACCCAGCTGTCCTTCTTCCTTCACCCAGGTGGCAGTCGGGATTGGCTTTCCTCTGAAGCAAATGCCCAGACACACTGAACCTCCAGCCTTGACAATGTGTGTCTGCTTGAACGTGGCGTCAATATCCACCAGTGGTGGTGTTAGCCTGTCTACAGCCTGAGTAGGCTCTGGAGTCTCCACTTCCTCACCTCTACCCACGTGATTGACAGCTGCAACACGGAACTTGTACTCAGCTCCTGTCTGTAGACCCGTTACCATGTAATTTGTTTCTGCCACCAGCTGCTCATTCATTCTCTTCCATTCTGTCTCTTCTCCCTTTACCATCTCAATAATGTAGCCCAGGATCTCCATGCCTCCGTCATCTGCAGGCCTGGTCCATTCCAGGCTAATGGAGTTGTTGGTGGAGTCTGACACACAGATCACAGATGGAGCACAAGGAATATCCTTTGGCTCGGCAGCTTTGATAGGAATAGAGATGTTGCTAGGAGCTCCAACACCAGCATCATTAACAGCCATCACGCGGAATTCGTATTCCATATCTTCTGTCAGGTGGAGCACCTTGTGAGCACATTCAACAATAGGCTTCTTGGTTATCACCTTGTAGAACCGCAGAGTCTTCTTTTCGCGTTTTTCCAGGATGTAATACTGAATGGGGTTTCCGCCATCAGATGTTGGAGGAGTCCAGGACAGGGTGATGCTCTCTCCTGTCACTTCAGTAGAGTCAGGAGTGCCTGGAGCCTCAGGAGTAGCTGAGGAAAACAATTTTAATAGGTAAGTGCAATGTCTACATTGACTAAATTAATAACATATAGAAATCTTATTTTTCTGTCTGAAATATTCAATAACACACTTTTTTTTTTTTACAATTCTCCACTTACTGTATTGCATCTGGGCAATGATGGGGCTGGATTCTAAAGGTCTGCCAACTCCAAACTTGTTAACAGCAGAGACCCTGAACTGGTACTCATTGGTCTTGATGAGCTTGGTTGCATTGAAAGTACACTCCGTACATTCATCTGACACCAAGGCCCAGGAGATTTTGGAGGTCTCGCGTTTCTCAATGATGAAATGTGAAATCTCAGAGCAGCCATCGTTCTCTGGTGGGTTCCAAGACAGAGTGCACTTCCCTTCTGAGATGTTGCTGAAAGTGATGGGTCCTACTGGCTCTCCAGGTGTGTCTGCATCACATAGGCGAACAAGATTGAAGTTAGACCATGAATAAATAAATACAATTGATGGTATAAACAACTGCACTGTAATATATAGTTAAAAACATCAAAGCTGCATACCTTGCACTTGAACAAGGATGTTCTCCTTCCTGCTTCCAGATCCATTGGTAGCCTCCACAGTGTAGAGGCCACTGTGTGTGCGATCAGCGTCCCTGACAAACAGGGTGCTGGATCCAGCTACGTTGATAATATCCAACATCTTTTTGGTAATCTCCACACCATCTCTGTGCCACACGACCTTGGGAACAGGGCGTCCAGTGATGGTCACCTTCAGCCGGATGTTGTCTCCAGCCTTGACTGTTAAACCCTCAAAGTATTCTGGGCCAAACTCAATATTTGGACACGCTGGTTTTGAGAAATAGGAGAAGCAATAGTTTACAGTTAGTATATTTACTGGGATTTAAAGATTTCATTTTACTTATGGTTTACAGAGCCTTTTACTTGTAGCCAGTTAGCAGTTACTAAAGGAAAACAAAAGCAGTGCTCACCAGCTACAATTTTTAGCCATTATTCCTGAGATTCATTATTACAACCCTCTAGGCTCATTACTCACCATTCTCACTTCTGACTACAATCAAGCCAGAAGAATTGGAGGGAGGACTGGTGACACCGATGGCATTTCTGGCAATCACTCTGAACTCGTAGCGTTCATTTGTTGCCAGTCCAGTGACAGTGTACATGCAGTCATGAACATCAGTCAAATTGGCTTTGAACCAGCGGCCATGTCCTTGGCGTTTCTCCACGTTGTAGCCGGTAATCTTGCTACCACCATCACGTTTGGGTGCATCCCATTTCAGTGTCACTGAGTCGCTAGTCACATCAGTGTAGTCAGGCTGGCCAGGAGGATCTGAAAGACATCATGTACAAATTTTAACTTATTTTTGACTGAACCTTTGTGGTTTCTAACTACACATTATTCAGGCTTTAGAGAAATAATGATTTTGTTAAAATCATTTTAGTTTCAATATGCAATGTAAACTTCCAAAAACAGCACTCACCAACAGGACTGACAGCCATGGTTGGCTTGCTCTCATCACTCATTCGGCTGAAGCCAGAATCATTCTGGGCATAGACCCTGAAGGAGTACTCCAGGCCTTCAATGAGTCCCAAGATCCTGTATTCTGTTTCTTTTATCAACATAGTGTTCACCTTTTGCCACATGATGCTGTTCTTTTCCTTCTTCTCCACATGGAAGCCCTGGATGGGGGTACCACCGTCATAGATGGGCTGTTCCCATTGGATGGTCATTCCATCATTGGTGACATTGTAAACAAATGGCTTGCCTGGTGGGCCTGGTGGCCTGAACTGGTGCTTGGCAATGACCATCTGTGAGACCAGAGGCTCACTGACACCATATCTGTTCTCAGCACACACTCTGAACTGGTACTGCACATTCTTGATCAGGTTGGGGACCTTGAACTGAGTATCCTGTACACTGGAGCAGGCCATCTTCCAGTCAGACTGGGAGGTGTCACGCTTTTCCACAGAGTAGCAGGTAATGTCTCCACCACCATCATCGTTAGGTTCATCCCAGGAGATTCTGATGCTCTCAGCTCTCACTTCATCCAGACGGATGGGTCCAACAGGCTTTGATGGTGGTCCAAGTGTGATGACATGGATGTGGAAGGATCTCCTGTTGACCTTATTGTCAAGGGTCAGGGTGTATTTACCCTCATTCTCCTTCTTCACATTCTTAATCATTAGAGTGGCTTTGTTTTCTGTCTTCTTGAAGCGGACTTGGTCACTCTCCTTCAATGGCAGGTTGTCTTTCAGCCACAGAATAGAAGGTTTGGGTTTGCCTTTGTATGGCAGCTCAATGTGCACATTGTGACCCAGGCGGACATTTAATCTGCCACCTGGGAACTCTGCAAGGCTTGCCTCAGGTGTTATAATGTAGTCAATGACCTTGATAGGCCCAATCTCTACAAAGTCACCCTGCCCCTTCTCATTTCTGGCGGCAACTCTAAAGAACACTTCTGAGTGCTCCTTGAGTTTCTTGACCTCAAACTCACACTGTCTGCTGGTTCCTCCCAATGACCATTCCTCATCCTTCAGTTTCTTCTCAATTACGTAGTCAGAGATGATGCTGCCACCATCATAACTAGGCTTTAGCCACTGCAGAGTGACAGAAGTCTTGGATGAATCCTTCATAGAGACCTCCTTGACTGGTCCGGGAGTCTCTGTAGCCTTCACAGGCTCATGTGTTTCACATGGATCACCAGCACCATTTTCATTCTCGGCTAACACACGGAAAAAGAAGGATGTCTTCTCGGAGAGATCTTCAATGGTGTATGTTGTTTCTGTGCATTTGCTTGTCACTGCAGAGTAGGATCTCTTAGAGGAGTCCCTCTTCTCAACAATGTAGTTTGTTATCTCAGCACCACCGTCATTGAGTGGAGGCTCCCAGCAGAGAGTGACCTTTCCACGGGTCACGTCCTTCAGGACCAGATTCCTGCACTGAGCTGGACTATCCTGGACCTTCACTGACAAGGTCAGGGTCTTGGGCTCTCCCACACCATTCTCTATCTTTACTGTGTACTTTCCAGTGTCAAGCCTGGTGACCTCACGCATAACAAGGACTGTTGTAGTGTCTGAGTGGTGGAACTCATATTTGGGGTCACGATCAATGCATTCTTCTCCCTTGCTCCAGGAAGCAGTGGGAGCAGGTCTGCCCTTCAGAGGAACTGACAGCTCCACATCTTTGCCAGCCTTCAAAATGTAGTGAGTTCTCATGGCTACGTCTGAGTCAATCTGGGCCTCCTCTGTGAAAATCATGAAAAATAATCATGGTCAAACAGGGACTTCTATATGTGAGCAGCGTAATAACAATACAAGACATACATGTGAATTGAACACACTGCATTTTTAGTATCAGTGAATAATTTACCAAGGATATCCTTAGCCTGCACAGGCTCAGTCATCTCCAGAGGTTCTCCCCGGCCAGCACAGTTGACAGCAGAGACTCTGAAGAAGTAATTGACATCTGGTTTTAAGTCGTGAACTGTGTACTCTGTTGTCTTGACCTCTCCCTTGGAGGTAATCATAGCCCATTCTTCCTCTCCTTCAACAAGCTTCTCCACCATGTAGCTGGTGACCTCACTGCCTCCATCCCATTCTGGCTTGGACCAGCCCAAGGTGATGGATGTCTTGGTGGAGTCCACCACCTTCAGCTTGCAAGGCTCATCCGGTTGATCTGCAAGGAAAATGTATTTGTTAGGTGGGAGTTGTTTAATTTTCATACATGTATATTTTGGCACAAACTCAAACCCTGGCTGCTGTGATAAGTACTCAGATGACACATGGTATGAGCTCTACCCGTGAGGTACCTTGGTGCCCATTCATTTTGTTTTTGTTGGATTGTTAGACAACTTACCAACTGGATCAGCAGCCTTGTAGTAGTCTGATGCATCAGAGAACGGTCCCTCTCCAGCCTTGTTAATGGCACAGACGCGATATTGGTACTCATTTCCTTCTGTCAGATGGTAGACGGTCTGTTTGACGTCAGTGACAGGATCTTTGTAAACCCTGATCCAACGCGAGCTCTTCTTGTCTCGTCTCTCCAGGTAGTAGCCCGTTACTGTGCTACCTCCGTCTACACCGGGTTTGTCCCATTCTACAACCATGGTGGACTTAGTGATGATATTCACCTCAGGAGTCTGAGGTTGCCCAGGAGTTACTGTAGAATTATACAACAAACAAGTTAAGAAAATGCAAATGACAACATAAGTAGCAATTTTGATGCATGCAAGAGTTTTGAAAAACGATAATAGAGATGAGGGATAATTACTGCAAGTTAGTGCAATTAATGTTACATAAACAGAAAAACTCAAACATTTGTAACTATAGAAGCTCAATAATAAAATCGAGAATGACTTATTTAAATTGACTATTATATTCAAAGCACTCTACAGTCAGAAAAACGTACCAAAGGCATTCTTAGCGATGACAGGCTCAGACTCCAGTGGCTCTCCAGCTCCGTACTTATTAACAGCCATTACACGGAACACATACTCGTTTCCACGCAACAGCTTGCTGACGGTGACGTGTGTCTTCTCATGCCTGTCTGAAACTGTCGACCATACCACTCGGCTGGTTTCCCTTCTCTCAACAATGTAGTGGGTCACCTTGGAACCTCCCTGGTCAGACTCGGGCACAGGTTCCCAGCTAAAGACGATCCTGTCTGCTGTAATGGAGTTGAAGTTAATGAGGCCGGCTGGGGGTCCAGGTTTGTCTAAAGGGAGGTAAAAAACATTGAATATAAACATTAAATACAAATATGATGGTGAGAGTATCTCAATTAAAATTGATTTCATTCAGATTGATGGAAATATGAAGAGGTGAGGCATATGAAGTTCAACATACCTAGAATTTCAATCCTGATAGTTGCAGATGCAGAACCCAGAACATTCTTGATCTTGACCTCATATGAGCCTGTGTGAATGCGAGCTGCATCCTTGATCAGAACAGCAGAAGAGTCAGTTGTGCTTTCAACGGACATGCAAGAGGTTGCTACCAGCACTTTTCCATCCTTGAGCCACTCAATAGTTGGCAGAGGCTTGGCGATGATTCCAACTTTAAGCTTAACTGAAACTCCAGCCTTGAACTGAACTACATCCAGATACTCTGGAGGAAGGTCAATGGCTGGGGCACCTGTGGGACATGAGATATTAATATCAGTAAGCTTTAATCAATACAAGTAAACAAAACATTTAAACATAGATATAAATTAAAACTCACCACATGCATCAACACAAGTGACAGGGCCAGCGATGAGAGATGGGTTGCTGACAGACCCAACAGCATTCTTGGCATACACTCTGAACTCATAAGACTCATCCTGGTTCAGTCCAGACACAGTGAAGCCCAGCTCAATGATGTTTGTAAAGTTGGCCTTCACCCATCTGCCATTGGGAGCGTCCCTCCTCTCCACACTGTAGCCAGTAATCTTGCTGCCACCATCATATGGAGGTCTCTGCCAGGCCAGGCTGACTGAGTTCTTGGTGACTTCAGTGATACGGACATTTGCTGGAGGCTCTGGAACATTCAAGTGAGAAAGATGCAATTTTAATTAAGCGCAGTAAAGAGTGTTTTCGTGTAAGCCCACTTTTTAAGGCTGTGGGTCCCTTTAAAACTGAAGATAACTGGAGGTAGAAATACTTACCGCAGGCATCAATAGCAAGCACTTCTTCAGAGGTCTTGCTCATCTTTCCAATGCCGGCTGCATTTTCAGCTGCCACCTTGAATTCATAGATGAGGCCAGGGCAGATGTTTGTGACTCGCCACTGGTTTCCTGCGATTGCTGTCTTATTGACCTTCTGCCAGAGGATGCTGCTTCTCTCCTTCATCTGGAGATGGTATCCAATAACAGGGTTTCCACCATCATTGACCGGTTCATTCCAGCAGACTGTCAGGCTTTCTCTAGATACAAAGCCGAACCATGGTGTGGATGGAGGTCCAGGGATGGCTGTAATGGACAACAGACATGTTAGTGTTCAGAAGGATTCATAATCCATAATACAAAAGTTGTTCTAGAACAGGAATATTATTTTTCCTTCACACACTGTGTCAGTTATCAACAAAAAAAGTAATCAAAGCTATGCTTATTCTTTCCAACTTGTATTCAAGTGTATTGACTTACTGTATGGAAGCTTTATCATGACTGGCTTGCTGTCAATATGGTCGCTGACACCGTAGCGATTCTCAGCCTTGATTCTGAACTGATACTCCTCTCCCTTGGTCAGCTTTGTCACCTTGATCGCGCTTCTGGCAATGCTAGTTGACACCTCTGCCCAGGAAGGAGTGCTGGTTTCACGTTTCAGAACAATGTAGTTGGTAACAGGACTGCCACCATCATACTCAGGAGGAGCCCATTTCAGACATACTGTGGTCTCTCCCACCTCCCCAATCTCTACTGGACCAACAGGATGTCCTGGTCTGTCCAGCACAACAAAAATAATGAAGGTCTTGGTGGTACCTCCCACATTTGAGGCAGTGACTTCATACTTGCCAGCATCACTTGAAATACTTTCATTTAGGGTGATGATTAAACTGTCTGGAGTAACTTCTGTTAGCAGCCTCTTGGATCCCTTGATGACAACATTGTTCTTGGACATAGTCACCTTAGGGATAGGCCTGCCGGTGAGAGGAATCTCAAAGGTTAGGTTGGATCCTGCTCTTACATAAACCTTATTCTTGGGGTAATTCTTCAGGTCAAACTCTGGAGCCACTGTTGAAAAAACAAGACAGGAATGGGATAAGTAATGTCACTTTAAAACCAATAACCCCATTAAATTGCATTTTCCACAAGTTGCATGTCTTTTCAAAAGGTAGTAGCAAAGCTAGAGATAATACCATGTATTTCCTTGACAATAACTGGTACGATCATCTCCTTCGGTTCACTGAGTCCGGCATGGTTCTCAGCACGGACTCTGAAGAAGTACTCAGCACACTCCCTCAGGCTCTTGATGGTGTGGGTCATGGTCTTCACGGTGGCACACTTCACCCACTTTGTCTGTCCCTTCTCCAGGGCATCAATAAGGTAACCAGTGACTCTGCTACCTCCATCATATTCTGGTCTTGTCCAGGCAATTGTAATACTGTCCTTGGTAACATTTGCAACTCCAAGTTTCATGGGTGGACTTGGTACCTCTGTAACAGAAAAGTGAGACATTTTATTATTGCCATTTTGTCAAAATAATAACAGTAGTATAAAATAAACTTAACAGCTACTACATTTAAACTGTAAGTTAATATGTTACCTGTAATCTTTGTTCCAGCCTTGGCTTCTTGAGGGACACCCACTCCATGTTCATTTTCTCCAATAATTCTGAAGTAATACATGGCTCCCTCCTGCAAGTCTTCCACCTTGTAAGTCATTGCATGGCAGTTGCTGGTCACAGACACCCAGGCCTTCTTACTGGCCTCACGTTTTTCAACATGGTAGGCCTTCACTGCATCACCACCATCATTCTCTGGAGCTTCCCAAGTGAGGGTTGCAGAATCCCTGGTCACTGCTGAAACTTTAACATTAACAGGGGGTCCAGGAGAGTCAAGCACCTTGACAACCATGGGCAATGTTGCTTTTCCCAATGGTGATTCAATTGTGACAGAGTATTCCCCAGAGTCATTTCTAGTTGCCTTCTCAATTGTCAATGAAGTGCTGGATTCTGTTGATTCAATAGTTCCTCTGACATTGAGATCAACACCCTCCTTGGCCCATACCACTGATGGCACAGGTTTGCCCTTGAATGGTACATTGAGAGTAAATGCTGTGCCATGCTTAACACTTTGTACTTTACGCATCTCAATGTCAACGTCAAATGATGGCTCTGAAGTTCTGTCCATTGCTGCAGCTCCATCTGAATATGGGCTACGTGCACTGCTGCCAATTTTGTTTATTGCCTTGACACAGAATTCATATTCTGCATCTGCCTTCAGTCCAGTGACTGTAAACTCCAAGCTCTTGGTAAGAGGGATAGCCTCAACCCATCTTGCTAGCTCTTCAGGTGATTCAGGTTCCTCTTCTTCCTCCTCCTCATATTCATATTCGTCCTCTTCTTCCTCAACCTCTGGCTCTGGTTTACGGATATAGTCTCTGTATTCTACACTGTATCCAAGGATGGGGGCACCGCCATCATTTGTTGGTGGTTTCCAGACAATGGACACACTGTCTTTAGTTGAACTGACAATCTTTGGCTTGGTTGGGCGAGAAGCAACAACCAGAGGATCTGCTGTTCTGAATGATGCAGATGGTTCACTTGGAGGACTTAGACCAGCAGAGTTTTCAGCATAGACTCTGAAGTCATACTCACAACCCTTACGCAGTTTGGTTGCTACTGCGGTGCATTCCAAAATTGCATCTCTGTTCACACGGACCCAGCGCATACCTGTCTTCTCACGGCGCTCAATCACATATCCAGTGATGGGGCTGCCTCCATCACTGGCTGGCTTGCACCAGGTAAGGGTCATTGAATCTCCAGTTATGGTAGTGACATCAACACTAGCTGGAGCAGTGGCAAAAGTGTATGGATCTGTAATCTTTACAGCATCACTCTCCAGAGCCTCACCAAGTCCATGCTTGTTGACAGCCAAAACCCTGAAGATATATTCATTGCCCTTTAGCAATCCTGTGACTTTGAAATATGTTTTTGTGATATCTCCCTTCACCAATGTCCATGCCAAGCGGCTGGTCTCACGCTTCTCAACAACGTAATGTGTGATCTCAGTCCCACCGATCTCCTGAGGAGGACCCCATGACAGAGTGCATGCCTCAGCTGTGAGACCTGTGATCTGCAGAGGTCCTGCTGAAGGTCCTGGCTTATCTAGAATCACACAGTTTATTGGCATGGTAACTGTTCCGCCAATATTCTGTAGAGTCAGGGCATACTGTCCAGAATCTCTTCTGATGCAGTCCTTCACAATAACAGAAGTGCTGGTATCTGTTGAAACAATCTGGATTCTGGCTCTCAGCTCAATATCTTTCCCATCCTTGGTCCAGGAAATAACGGGGGCAGGACGTCCAGCAAAGTCAGCATTTATTTTCAAAGTTTCTCCCGCTTTCACAAACACTGTTTCTCTGAACTTAACATCCATCATGATACGTGGTGGATCCACATCATCCTTGACAGTGATGGGGCCAGTGTTCCAAGATGGATGACTGAACAATCCAGCTGCATTCTTAGCAATGACACGGAAGTCATACTGGCTGTTTTCTGTAAGACCTGTCACATCATAGTGGGTCTCTGGCACGTTGGTGAAGTTGCACCTTGTCCAGCGTCCTTCAGGGAGGTCTCTGCGCTCAACAACATAGCCAGAAACCTTGGCTCCACCATCATACTCTGGTTTATCCCAAGACAAGGAAACAGATGTTCTGGTAATAGCAGTAACCACAGGTGTGCCTGGAGGGTCACATGGATCTCTGGCTGCTACGCCTTCACAGGCCTTGCTACATTTACCGATACCAGCAATATTTTCTGCATAGACACGGTATTCATACACCATACCCTCTTCAATTCCATTGACTTTGTATTCTGTATCTTTGATCATTCCTCTGTTCATCTTTGTCCAAAGAATGCTAGTACGCTCCTTTCTCTCCAGATGGTAGCCCAAAACATGACTACCACCATCACTTACAGGCTCATTCCAAGTCACCAACATGTAAGACTTTGTAGCCAACTTCACAATAGGTGTGGAAGGAGGTCCAGGTTGTTTGAAGTTATACTTAGCAGTAATTCCAGTTGAATCCAGAGATGTACTCTTTCCATAACGGTTGACTGCATAGATGCGGAATTGGTACTCTGAGCCATGTGTTAGGCGGCCAGCCTTGAAAGATGTTCTGGCAACATTACTTGCTGCCATCTGCCACTCCTGTGTGTTTGTGTCTCTTTTCTCCACAATATAGTTACTGATGGAGCAACCACCAGTATAATCTGGCGGGGACCAGGACAGTGTGATGCTGTCTGAGGTCACAGCATCCACCTTGATACCTTTAGGTGGACCTGGTTTATCAAGGACAACAACTCCAATATCTGCTGTGACAGTTCCTCCTGCGTTTGCCAGAGTGATTTCATACTTGCCAACATGTTCTCTGCTAGCCTCTTTGATCATAATTTTGGATGATGTTGCAGTGTTTAAGATGGTGACTGATGATGTTTGCTTCAAAGGAAGGCCATCCTTCTTCCAGGATACAACAGGCTTTGGCCTACCTCTTACTGGAACCTCAAGAGTAAGGTCATCTCCAGCCTTCACACTGTATGTGGTAAACAGTAAGTTGGTAGATGGCTCAATTGAAACATCCTTTGCAACCACAGGCAAACCAAGATCCTTTGGCTCACTCTTTCCCTTCTCATTGATTGCAACAACTCTGAATAAATAGGTTTCATTAGGGGTCAGATTAGGAATAGTTGCTTCAGGCACCTTGACTGTGCATGCTGTGCCCCATTTATCTCCACTTTTAGGCTTAAACTCTACATTGTAGCACATTATCTTGCTTCCACCATCATGAGCAGGTTTTTCCCATGCCAATGACACACTGGTCTTCGTCAAATCTATAAGTGTTACTTTGCTTGGAGGCAGAGGTACCTCAGACACTTTGATTTCTTTGGTTTCAACCATCTGTCCTTGGCCATATTCATTAACAGCACAAACTCTGAAGTAGAAAATGCCACCCTCAGGCAGCTCTTCAATCTTGAATGAGTTGGCTGTGCAGTTGCTAGTGACAGTAGTATAGGCCTTCCGGACAGACTCTCTCTTCTCCACAATGTAGTTTGTTATTTTAGAACCACCATCAGTGAGTGGAGTATCCCAGCCAAGAGTCACTGAATCCTTCTTGAGCTCCTTTACAGAAAAGTTTTGTGGTGCACTAGGTGTATCCAAAATTCTCACTGCAACAGTAGCAGATTTTGCACCACTACTATTCTCCAGTGTTAGTGAATATTTGCCACTGTCAAAGCGATTAACGTTGTCAATGACAAGCATGGTGTATGAACTGGTGGTGTCAATTGCAGCATTATCTGTGAGAGTACCGTCTACTTTCTCCCATTTCACAGTAGGTTCAGGCCTTCCTCTGATGGTAACAAACAGACGCAAAGTTCCACCAGCACGAACAGATACCACCTTTCTGAGCTCAGCATCCAACTCAATCTCTGGTGCTTCTACCCTGTCAGATGTGACCACAGTGCTGTGAACATTAGCAGCCTCCCCCACACCCTCAGAATTGATAGCACAGACACGGAACTGGTATTCTCCACCCTCTTTCAGGTCTGTGATAGTGAGTTTAGTGGCTTGAATGCCAGTGGGTGGAGTGCACATGGTCCATTCTTTTTCAACTGGTGCCTCTACTGTTGGTGCTACTTCTAACTCCTCTGTCACTTCAGGCACTGGTGTATACTCCCTCATTTCAACAATGTAGCCCTTAATGTAGGCACCACCATCAAAGTCAGGTTTTCCCCAGGACAGAGACACAGAGGACTTTGTGTAGTCTGTCACCTTAGGATGGTGTGGAGGTCCAGGTGGTGTTGTGGTATCACATGCTCTGTAGAATAGGGACAGTTCACTTAGGTCTCCCATTCCAGCCTCATTCTCAGCAGAAACACGGAACTCATAGAAGTGGTCTGTCATCAGACCTGTGACCCTGAAGTGAGTGTCCGTCAGTTTCTGTCTGTTGCATTTTGTCCATCTTACACTATCTTTGTCACGTTTTTCAAGGTGGTAACTGTCAATGTCCGCTCCACCAGTTTGTTCTGGAGCAGTCCATGAAAGAACCATAGAGTCCTTTGTGATCTGACTTGCTTCTGGGGTTCCAGGAGGACTAGGGGGCTTATAAGGATTGCGTGCAATGATGGGTTCACTCTCAAGATAATCACCAACACCATATTTGCTGACTGCCCTGACTCTGAAAATGTATTCATTTCCAGGGAGCAGATTTTTTAGTTTATAGAACAGACCCTTGATATTTGGTGCAGCCACGGTCCAGGACAATCTGCTGGTCTCTCTCTTCTGTAAGACATAGTGAGTGATACTAGCTCCACCATCCAGAGTTGGCTCAGACCAGGAAAGGATGCACCTGTCAGCCATGATCCCTGTCACCTTCATGGGTCCAGTGGGTGGACCTGGTTTATCAAGGACTTTGACAGTGATAGGGAAGGTTTTTGTACCACCCAGATTTTTTAGGACAAGGTCATAGTGGCCACTGTCAACTTTGGTTACATCCTTGATGGTTATGGCTGCACGTTTCTGTGTAGTTTTCACTTCAATTCGCAGTGCTTTGTCCATTTCCTTGCCCTCTTTTAGCCAAACAACATCAGGAATTGGTTTTCCATAAATGTCTGCATCAAGAAGTAAGCTTTCTCCAGCATTAACAACAATGACATCCTTGTATTTGGGATCCATTGAGGCCCTTGGTGGTTCAATTTCATCAGTAGCAGTTATAGGTCCAGAGCTGTCAGATGGCCCGCTGAAAACACCAGCTGCATTTCTCGCAATAACTCTGAATTCATATTGCTCATTCTCTGTCAGACCAGTGACGGTATACTCAGTTTCAATTATATTAGTGAAGTTAGCTCTGACCCAGCGCCCTTCAGGGGAGGAAAGATCTTTCCTTTCCACAATATATCCATTCACTTTGCTGCCACCGTCATACTGAGGTTTTGTCCACTGAATCTTGATAAGGTTCTTAGAAATAGATACAGCTTCAGGAGTACCAGGAGGGTCACATGGATCACGAGCAACAAAGGACTCAGACACTTTACTGCATCTGCCAATGCCGACAATATTTTCAGCATAGACTCGGAATTCATATCCAATACCCTCCTCAAGATTGGCGATCTTGAACTGAGTATCAGTGATGAGAGTCTTGTTCAGTTTGTTCCACATGATGCTGCTTCTCTCCTTGCTTTCCAGATGGTAACCAATAACTGTACTTCCACCATCATTGACTGGCTCATTCCATTCAATGATCATCATTTCTTTTGTAGCATATTTTATATATGGAGTTCCTGGGGGCCCTGGTGGTTTGTATGGATATTGCACAACAATGGCCTTGGAGTCCAGAGGCACACCCTTTCCATACCTGTTTTCAGCTATGATTCTGAACTGGTATTCAGCACCAGTCTTCAGCTTAGTGACCTTGAAAGCAGTTCTAGCAAGCTGTGTGGTGACTGACTGCCATGTTTGGGTAGTGGTGTCTCTCTTTTCCACTATATAGTTCTTTATCTGGCATCCACCTGTGTACTCTGGAGGCTCCCAGGAGAGATGGACAAATGTGTTGCTCACTTCAACAACCTTGATTGGGCCTGTTGATGGACCAGGCTTGTCAAGGATAATGACAGCCACATCCTCGGTAATTGTGCCGGCAGTATTGGTTGCTGTAATGGAATATTTACCCAAATCTTCCTTGCATGCCTCAGTAATTAGAATTCCAGTTGTTAACGGAGTGTTTACCAAATTGACTCTGGATGTCACCTTAAAAGACTGACCATCCTTGGTCCAAGTGATTTTAGGTTTGGGCCTGCCAAGCACAGGGAACTCCAACTTGAGATCTTTTCCAGCTAATACACTGTACGTGTTAAATTGCATCTTAATACTTGGCTCTATGGTCATGTCACTGGCAACGACAGGTGCAGCAAGTGCCTTAGGTTCACTCTTGCCCTTCTCATTGTAAGCAATAATACGGAATAGGTATTCTGTTCCAGCTGTGAGGCCTGTGACAGTGCCCTCACATGTCTTTGTATTTGTTGCCACTCCCCACTTATCTGTACCCTTTGGCTGCATCTCTATTAGGTAACCACCAATTCTACTGCCTCCATCATGCTGAGGTTTTTCCCAGGCCAGTGAGGCACTGGCTTTGGTGACATCAGTGAGGGAGACTTTTCCAACAGGGAGTGGTACCTCAGAGGCCTTTGAAGCTGTCTTTGTTTCAACAGCCTGGCCTATTCCATAGTCATTCTCAGCCATGACTCTGAAGTAGTACATAGCACCTTCAATCAAGTTCTCAACTTTGAATGTTGTCTTGGTACATTTTGTGGACACATTTGCATAAGCCTTTCTGGTTGATTCACGTTTGTCAATGACATAGTTCTTGATTTTGGATCCTCCATCAATTAGTGGGGCATCCCATACAAGAGTGACAGAATCCTTTTTGACTTCTTTAACCATGAGGTTCTGTGGGGATCCAGGTGTATCCAGAATTTTAACAGCAACAAACTCAGACACAGAGCCACTGCTGTTTGTCAGGTCTAGGGTATATTTTCCTGAGTCACTCCTGTCACATGAGTCAATGGACAGCTGAGTGAAGTTGAGAGCTTTTTCAACCACCACCTTTTCAGTCAGATCTCCCTCATCCTTAGTCCACTTAATCTCAGGTGTTGGCCTACCCTTGAATGGAATATGGATTCTAACAGATCCACCAGCTTTCACAATGATACCCTTTCTCAACTCAGAGTCAAGGTGGATCTGTGGTGGATCCACCCTTTCCTCTGGCTTAGCTGTACCAGAGAGAGTTGCTGGTTCACCAACTCCCAGTTTGTTCAGAGCACACACCTGGATCTTATACTCCGTACCCTCGGTAAGTTTGGTAATTTCATATTTGTTGACACGCAGTCCAGTGGGGGGAGTAACCATAGTCCATTCCTCCTCTTCAGCCTTGCAGATTTCAACAATGTATCCTTGAATGGCAGTGCCACCGTCCAACAGAGGCTTACCCCATGACACTGTAATAGAACTTTTTGTGGAGTCAATCACATTCACATATGCTGGAGCACCAGGTTTGTACTTGGGATCACAGGCCTTGTAGTATGAACTTGGAAGGCTTGGCTCTCCCACTCCAACTACGTTCTCAGCAGCCACTCTGAACTCATATTCATGGTCAGTTGTTAGGCCTGTAACTCTAAAAGAGAGGTCAGTGACTTTCTGTCTGTTGCATCTGGTCCATTTGATTCCATTTCTGTCCTTCTTTTCAATGTTGTAATTGGTAATCTCACTGCCACCATCACTCTCAGGGGCTGACCAAGTGATTGTCATGCCATCATGAGCAATGTTGGATACATCATCAATATGAGGTGGACCAGGAGGAACAAATGGAGTCTTCATGATAACTCCGTGAGACTCCAGTGGCTCACTGATACCGTAACTGTTAACTGCCATGACACGGAACATATACTCATTGCCTTCCAGTAATTTGGTGACTTTGTAACGTGTGGTGTCACAGCTGTTAGAAACAACAGTCCAAGCAAGACGGCTGGTCTCTCTTCTCTCAATGACGTAGTGCTTAATAGGACTGCCTCCATCATGTAGAGGGGCACGCCATACCAGTATGCATCTATCTTCAGCTACGCCAGTGATGTGGAGGGGTCCTTCACACTGGCTGGGCCTGTCCAAGACCACAACTTTGAATGGAACAGTTTCACTGCCAGCCTCATTTGTCAGCTGGAGTGTGTAAATTCCACCATCAATTCTAACAGAGTCCTTAATGACAATCATTGCCTGGTGTTCTGAGTTTTTAATCTCTAGTCTGAGTGTATTCTCGATTGGTTTTTCATCCTTGAACCACTTGATTGTAGGCAGTGGCTTGCCACGGACATCGGCATCTAGCTTGAATGTCTCTCCAGCATTGATGATAATGGTCTTGGTGAATGCAGGGTCAATGGAGAATTTGGGTGCCTCCACCTTATCACTTGCAGTGATTGGTCCACTGTTGTAGGATGGCTTGCTGATGGTGCCAACAGCATTTTTAGCAATGACTCTAAAGTCATACTGTGCATTTTCAGTCAAACCAGTGACCGTGAACTGGGTCTCAATCACATTGGTGAAGTTTGCCCTTACCCACCTGCCCTCTGGCAGATCACGCTTCTCCACAGTATAGCCAGTTATATTACTGCCGCCATCATATTCTGGTTTAGTCCACTGAATGACAATGGTATCTTTGGTCACATGGATGGCCTCTGGTGTTCCCGGAGAATCACATGGGTCACGGGCAACACAGCCCTCTGAGATCTTACTGCATCTGCCAATGCCAACAATATTTTCAGCATAAACCCTGTATTCATACTCAATACCCTCATCCAAGGGGTAACTCTTGAAAGTAGTTTCGTGAATAAGTGTTTTGTTGATTTTGACCCAGAGAATACTATTCCTCTCTTTCCTTTCAAGATGGTAGCCAAGAACAGCGCTGCCTCCATCAGAGACAGGCTCATGCCACTCAACAATTTGGTGGTCCCTAGAGAGAGAGGAGATGAAAGGCGTGCCTGGTGGGCCTGGCTCTCTGTATGGGTATTGAGCGACCACAGCAGATGAATCCAGACCATGACTCTTGCCATAGCGGTTCTGAGCAATGATCTTGAACTGGTACTCAGCTCCAGTCTTCAGTCTTGGCACTTTGATGGTGGTTCTGGCGCAGTTGATGCTGACATTTTCCCATGTTGTTGAAGTAGTATCTCTCTTCTGCACAATGTAGTTTGAAATCTGGCAGCCACCATTGTGTTTTGGTGGGTCCCATGAAATAGTGACACTCTGTGTTGTGATTTCATCAAACCTCACAGGGCCGGATGGAGGGCCAGGCTTGTCAAGTACAATGATTTCAACAGTTGTATCTTTCTTTCCAGCTGAGTTAGCAACATGTATACTATACATACCACCATCATCACCTGCTGCCTCCTTAATGCTCAGTGTTGTCTGTGTTGGTGTGTTGAGGATGTTAACTCTGGTAGTGAACTTCAAAGAAGCTCCATCTTTAGTCCATGAAACTGTTGGTTTAGGACGTCCAAAGATGGGAATGTGAACATTCAGGTCCTTTCCCACATGGACACTGTAGTTGCTGAATGCTGGTCGAACATCTGGCTCAAAGACTAAGTCCTTGGTCATCACTGGACCAGAAAGGACTTTGGGGTCACTCTTTCCCTTATCATTGATTGCTGTAACTCTAAACAGATACTCTTCTCCTGGGTTCAAATTGGAAACAGTAGCCTCCATTGTCTTAAATGTGTTAACACCAGACCACTTATCCTGACCCTTGAGCTGCACCTCCAGCAGGTACTGCATGACTCTGCTACCACCATCATACTCAGGCCTCTCCCAAGCCAAAGAGATGCTTGTTTTAGTTTGGTCTGTAACAGTCAGGTTCTTTGGAGACTGTGGTACCTCTGAGACCTTCAGAGGGTCAACAGTTGCTGCAGGCAGGCCAACACCATGTGCATTCTCAGCAAGCACCCGGAAGTAGTAACTGCAGCCTTCCTGGAGTGATTCAATCTTCCATGAAAGAGCATGACAATTTGTTACAACAGCTGCATATGTTTTGCGTGTGCTTTCTCTCTTTTCAACAACGTAGTTCTTGATCTTGGACGCTCCATCCAACAGAGGTGGTTCCCATGCCAGTGTCACTGATTGGTTTGTAATTTCTTTGACTTTGAGGTTAACAGGAGCACTAGGTGTGTCAAGGACACGGACAACAACAAATGCAGATTTGGTTCCACTAGAATTCTCTGCAGTGACAGTGTATTTTCCACTGTCATTCCTGCCCATCTTGTCAATTACAAGGGATGTGTAACTACTGGTCACTTCAACCTGAGCAGTCTCTTTAAGTGCAGCCTCATCTTTGTCCCACTTGATGGTAGGACTAGGCCTTCCTTTGATGGGAATAAAGAGTCTAAGGGATGCTCCAGCTTTAATGGTTACAATCTTTCTCAATTCTGGATCAATGTCAAGGTCTGGCTCTTCTGCCTTGTCCTGGACAACAACAGCTCCAGAGACATCAGCATGCTCGCCAACTCCCACTTTGTTCACAGCACATACTCTAAACTTGTATGCCTGGTTTTCCTTCAGGTTTGAAACTTCAAACTTGGTCTTTTTGATCCCTGTTGGTGGCGTGCACATGATCCATTCCTCAGCAGGTGCATCTGTGGCAGGGGCTTCAGCAGGGGCTTCAGCAGGGGCTTCAGCAGGGGCCTCAGCAGGGGCTTCAGCTGGTGCTGCTGGTTCTGTGGTAGTGCAACACTCAACAATGTATCCCTGAATCTCACAGCCTCCATCACAGACAGGTTTGCCCCATGACAGGAATACAGATGTTTTAGTTGTGTCGGTAACTCTAGGATTGTGTGGTGGGCCAGGCCTGAAGATTGGATCAAGAGCTTTGTAAAATACAGTTGGGGAGCTTGGCTCACCAACACCGACAGCATTCTCAGCTGCAACTCTGAATTCGTAGATATGGCTGTCCAGGAGGCCAGTGACCTTGAAAGTCAAGTCAGTAACTGCTTGCCTATTGCTTCTGATCCATCTTACGCCCTCTTTGTCATGTCTCTCAATTATGTAGCCAGTAATAGGACTTCCTCCATCTTCAGAAGGAGCCTCCCAGGTGAGTACCATTGAATCCTTTTTGATATCTGAAACTTCCAAGCTCTTGGGTGTTCCAGGGGGCAAATATGGATCTTTGATTACTGCAGCAGCAGACTCAAGTCCTGCACCCACTCCAAATTGGTTGACAGCATGGACTTTAAAAATATACTCATTTCCTTCTAATAGCTTACTAATCTTTAAACAAGTATTTACGACTTTAGGGTCAACAACAGTCCAGACTAGTCTGCTTGTCTCTCTCCTCTCCACAATGTAGTGAGAGATCTTGCTGCCACCATCCTGTAGTGGTGGTTTCCATGCAAGGCAGCATCGGTCTTTGGTTATTCCTGTAACAACAAGAGGTCCCTGTGGTTCTCCAGGTTTATCTAGAACAACCACATTTACCTGTACAGCCTTTTCTCCTCCTGGATTTTTCAACAGCAGAGTGTATTGGCCTCCATCGGAAAGCTTAGCTTCCTTGACAAATATGCAGGCTTTTGTGGGTGTGTTCTTAATCTCTCTATGAATAGTGTTGCCCAGTTCCTGCTCTCCCATCATCCAGTGGATAGTGGGCAATGGTTTGCCATGGACATCTCCGTCTATCTTGAAGTTGTCTCCAGCATTAACCACAATAGTCTGTGTGTACTCTGGGTCAATGCTGATGCGTGGTGGTTCAATCTCATCCTTGGCAGTGATAGGACCAGTGCTGTAAGATGGGAGACTGAAAACACCTGCTGCATTTCTGGCAATGACACGGAACTCATACTGATTGTCCTGAACAAGTCCAGTTGCAACATATTCTGTCTCAATGACGTTAGTGAAGTTAGCCTTCAGCCAACGACCTTCAGGAAGCTCCTTCTTTTCCACAATGTAGCCTGTAACCTTTGCACCACCATCATACTCTGGCTTGGTCCAAACAATGGTCACAGAGTCCTTAGCGATCTTTGTTGCCTCTGGGGTTCCAGGAGGATCACAAGGATCTCTAGCGACATGTCCCTCAGACACTTTGCTCACTTTGCCTATTCCAACAATGTTTTCAGCATAAACTCTGTATTCATACTCCATTCCTGGTTCAAGACTAGTGGTCTTGAAGGTTTGGTCAGTAATAAGAGATTTGTTAAGTTTAACCCAAAGGATGCTGTTTCTCTCTTTACGTTCAAGATGGTAGCCCAAGACAGTGCTTCCACCATCATTCACAGGTTCATTCCAGGCAATAACCATGCTATCCTTGGTGCAGGCTGCAATGGATGGGGTTCCTGGGGGTCCTGGGAGCTTGTATGGGTATTGAGCCACAATACACTCTGATTGAAGAGCTGGGCCTTTTCCATATCTGTTTTCTGCTGTGATTCTAAACTGATACTCCGAGCCAGTCTTCAACCTGCCTGCCTTGATTTTGGTCCTTGCAAGGTTAGGAGATACAACCATCCAGTTAGTTGTGGATGTGTCTCTCTTTTCCACAATATAGTGTTTGATGGTGCACCCTCCATCATATTCTGGTCGGTTCCAGGAAATGGTTACACTGTCAGATGTGACCTCCTCCACCTTAACTGGACCATCCGGCTGGCCAGGTTTGTCAAGAACAACGATGCCAATTTCTGCTGTTGTCTCTCCTGCTGTGTTGGTAAGAGTTATGTGGTACTGTCCAACATCATCTTTAGTAGCCTCTTTTATGTTGAGGGTCAGCATTTTGTCTGTTGCAGAAAAGTTTACTCTCGTAGTTCTCTTCAGGGGCTGACCATCTTTTTTCCAGGAGACAGCTGCTTTGGGACGTGCAACATATGGAACCTCCACTGTCAGGTCTTCTCCTGCCAACACGCTGAATGTGTTAAACAAAAGTTTGGCAACAGGTGCAATCACTAGATCTTTAACAATCACAGGCACACCGATTTGACGTGGGTCGCTAGTTCCTTTTTCATTTCTTGCTGCAACACGGAACATGTATTCTTCACCTGCATTGAGTCCACTAATAGTAGCTTCTGTTTCCTTGACAATCACAGCCTGTGACCACTTATCAACACCCTTAGGCTGAATCTCAACAACATAACAGCCCACTCTGCTGCCACCATCATGCACTGGCTTCTCCCAGGAGAGGGTGACACTGTTCTTAGTAACGTCCTTAAGAGTGATTTTGCCAGGTGGCTGTGGTTTCATAGACACTTTAACTGATTCACCAGTCTCAATGGGCAGGCCAATGCCATATTCATTCTCAGCCAAAACTCTGAAGTAATAGTTGCATCCTTCCAGGAGCTGGTCGACTGTGAATGTGGTGTGATGGCAGTTAGCTTTTACTGTGGCATATGCTTTCCTTGTGGACTCCCGTTTTTCAACAATATAGTTCTTAACCTTAACTCCTCCATCATTCACTGGTGGATCCCAAGTCAGAGTGACAGCTTCATTTGTTACAGCAGTAATCTTCAGATTCTGTGGGGCACTTGGTGTATCAAGTACCTTGACTTGGACTGTAACTGTCTTGGAGCCAGAGCTGTTTTCAATTGTAAGATTATACTTTCCACTATCAAATCTGTTGACATTCTCAATTACAAGTGATGTGTATGATGTTGTGCTGTCAATGGTTGCCCTTTCAATAGGTTCACCATCTCCCTTGGTCCATTTAGCCTGAGGAGTTGGTCTGCCTCTTATAGGCACAAACAGCCTAAGTGAGCAGCAAGCCCTTAGACTGACAACCTTGCGGAGCTCAGCATCCAAATCCATCTCAGGCGGGAGGAGCCTGTCCTCTGCCTTGGGATTGCCAGGTACCAATGCAGCCTCTCCAACTCCTTCACTGTTGACAGCAGAGATGTTAATCTTGTACTCCTGGTTCTCCTTCAGGTTAATAATAGTGAATGAGGTGGCAAGGAGTCCTTCTTTGGGTGTCACAATGGTCCATTCCTCATCTTCTTCCTTTTCAGATGGGATGCAGGTCTCAACAATGTAGCCAGTGATGTCAGAGCCACCATCATATACAGGTTTGTTCCAGGCTACAGTAATTGAGGACTTTGTTGTATCCAAAATTCTTGGGTTGCATGGAGCCCCTGGCTTGTACAGTCCATCAGTAGCCCTGTAGAATGGACTCGCGACACTTGGTGCACTTACTCCAGCAGCATTCTCAGCAATTATTCTGAATTCATATTCATGTCCGACAAGAAGCCCTGTTGCCTTGAATTGTAGATCTTTGACCTTCCTCTTATTGCATTTGACCCAGCGGAGGCCTATTCTGTCTTTCCTTTCAATATTGTAGTTGGTGATGGGAGTTCCACCATCACTCTTAGGTGCTTGCCACATAAGAACCATTGAATCTTTGCTGATAGCTGTCACCTCAGGATTCTCTGGAGGATCTGGAACCACATATGGATTGTCTGCAATAGTGGGTTCAGAATCAAGAGCTTCGCCAAGTCCATATTTGTTTACTGCCATAACTCTGAAGATGTATTCATTTCCTTTGAGCAGCTTGGTCACCTTGTATTGTGTAACTTGCAGGTCTGAAACCACATTGGTCCAAACCAGTCTGCTTGACTCGCGCTTCTCAATCACATATCCTTCAATCTTGGCACCACCATCATCTGCAGGTGGAGCCCAGGTGAGTACACAGTTGTCAGCTGTTACGTTAGAGACCTCAAGAGGTCCAACTGGTGGTCCAGGTCTGTCAAGCACTTTAACATTAAAGACGTGCTTAGCAAATCCACCAACATTAGTGGCAGTCAAAATAAATTCTCCTCCATCTGATCTGATAGAGTCCTTGTTGGTCAGAGTTGTTGTTAATTCTGTGAACCTAACCTCCAGTTTCATTGTGTTCTCAACCTCCTTTCCATTCTTGGTCCAAACCATAGATGGGGTTGGTTGACCAGCAATGTCAGCATCAAGTTTGAAGGACTCTCCTGCCTTCAGTAGAACAACATCCTTGAAGATGGCATCAACCATAATGCGTGGCTCGATAATGTCATCTTTGCAAATAATTGGGTCTGAGGGCTCAGAGGGTATGCTCACTGCACCTGCTGAGTTTCTGGCTATGACACGGAACTCATATGAGGCATCTTGAGTCAGTCCACTGATAGTGAATGTTGTCTCAATGATGTTGGTGAAGTTGGCTCTCATCCATCGACCAGTAGGCAGTTCTCTCTTCTCCACAGTGTAGCCAGTGATTTTGAAACCACCATCGTACTCAGGCTTGGTCCACTGAATAGTGATGACATTCTTGTTGACAAATATTGGTTCAGGCTGACCTGGTGGATCTACAGGGTCCAAGGCCAGTATTGCTTCTGAGGCCTTGCTGGGCTTACCAACTCCAGCCATGTTTTCAGCCGAGACACGGAACTCATAGGCAACTCCATCTTCAAGACCACTTGATTTAAAGATATTTCCTTTCACAATACCCTTGCTGATCTTATACCACATGATGCTGCTTCTTTCTTTCCTCTCAACATGATAACCAATTACTTCATTTCCACCATCAGACACAGGCTCATTCCAGCCAATTGTTATTGAGTCCTTGGTAAATGCAACAACTCCAGGAGTACCAGGAGGTCCAGGGACTTTAAATGGATAGGCAGCCACCACTGCCTCTGATGTGATAGGTGGTCCAACACCATATCTGTTCTTAGCTTTTACTCTGAACTGGTACTCAGACCCGGTGGTTAAACGAATGGCTTTGAACATGGTACGAATGACAGTGGAGGATAGCTCTGTCCATGTTTGGGAAGTTGTGTCTCTAATCTCAACCACATAATTGTTGATTGGAACACCTCCGTCATTCTCAGGAGTGTCCCATGCAAAGATGCAATAGGTACGAGAAATCTCCACAATCTTGACTGGTCCCTTGGGTGGCCCAGGTACATCATGTACTTTGACAATAATGTTGTCTGTCACAGATCCAACAATGTTCTTAGCTGTCATGGTGTATACACCACTGTCACCTCTGGTACATTCATTGATGCTCAGGATAACAGTAGCAGAAGTAGTTTCCACATTGGTTCTCTGTGTGAGCTTCAGAGCTGCGGCATCCTTTTGCCAAGAGACGGTTGGTCTAGGACGTCCCATAACTGGAATTTCAACCTTAATGTCATCTCCTGCCTTGGCAATAACAGTCTTCTGACATACGCCACGGAGGTCAAACTCAGGCAGGGAAGTAGAATCCTTGACAACAATAGGTTTGCTCTCACGTGGAGCGCTTCTACCTGAGTGATTGACAGCCATTACACGGAAAATGTATTCCTCATTCTCATTGAGATTTTTCACTGTGAAATCCATGCTCTTGACTGTTGTTACATGTGCCCACTGGTCAGTTCCCTTCTTCTGGGCTTCAAGAACATATCCTGTAACTCTGCTCCCACCATCATGCTTGGGTTTGGTCCAAGCCAGGCTCACAGAGTTCTTGGTTATATCAGTAGGAATAATACTCTCTGGAGGAGTTGGTGCCTGGGATGCACGAATTGGATCAGCAGTTTCAACCGCCTCACCAATTCCATACTCATTCTCGGCAGACACTCTGAAGTAGTACTCACAGCCTTCACCCAGCTCACCGATCCTGACTGAAGTGGTCATGCATTTTGTAATAGCAGTAGCAAAAGCTTTGCGTGTTGATTCTCTCTTCTCAATGATGTAGTTTGTGATCTTGGCTCCACCATCGATGAGAGGCATCTCCCACTGAAGAGTAATGCTTTCCTTGTCAATCTTGACTGGTTTGAGGTTAAGAGGAGGCCCAGGTGAATCCAAAACTCTCACATTTATAGGGGCACTCTTCTTTCCAGCAGAGTTTTCAAGGGTAAGCTCATACTTGCCTGCATCAATCCTAGAACTCTCAGGGATGATCAGCATTGTAAATGACTCAGTGCTGTCAATGACTGCGCGTAGGACAGGTCCACCCTCCTTGGTCCAGGTGACTGTAGGTGTAGGACGTCCCTTGATTGGCACAAAGAGGCGAATGGAGCAGCCAGCCCTAACAACAAGGGTTCTTCTCAGCTCAACATCCAGCTCCAAATCAGGTTCAGCTGCTCTTTCCACAATCTCAACCAGCTCCTGAGTTTCAGCAGGTTCACCTGCTCCCTTAGCATTAACTGCACTAATTCTGAAATGGTATTTTGCACCCGTTTCCAGCTTGGGAACAACAAACTCTGTGATCCTGAGTGGCGATGAAGGGGTGTCCTTAACCCATTCTTCTGTTCCTTCTTTCTTGTGCTCAATCAAATATCCAGTAACTTCAAGCCCACCATTATCAAGAGGTTTTCCCCAGTTTAGAGTGGCAGTGGTCTTAGTTGTGTCTGTGACTCTTGGATTTACTGGAGGTCCAGGCACATCTGTCAGACATAAAATAAGTGGTTAGTGTAGTGCAAATATAACATTCTGTGTCTTAACATAAGAAATAATGTAACACTTCTTTCTTCTTTTTTACTTACAGGCAACAACTATTGTTCTGACAGGCATAGATGGTTCACTTGGATCTCCAAATCCAGCTCTGTTCTCAGCAAGAACACGGAACTCATACTCGATGCCCTCTGTGAGACCGGTAACTTCAAAGCTGAGCTCAGCAATGGATTTCTTGGAGGCCCTTATCCATCTCATACCCTTTTTCTCCTTCTTCTCAACACAATAACCTGTGATGTCACTTCCTCCATCCTCAGTTGGTCTCCTCCAGATCACAGTGGCTGAATGTCCATCGACTTTCTCAACCTCTGGTTTAGACGGTGGACCAGGAGGACCTGTACAAATAGACAGAAGAAACACATTCATGAATCTGCATAGTCTGTATTCTTTGTTCAGAGTAATTTGCAAAAATGTAGGATGTAAGATGCATTGAGGAGCATAAACTAACTGCACATACCAAATCTATCAACCATCTTGACTGCTTCAGACTGAGATGGCTCACTGGCGCCGTACTGGTTAACAGCAGAGACTCTGAAGAAGTACTCATTGCCCTGGATGAGCTTGTTGGCCACATAGTGACAGTCGATGACCTTCTCTTCCAGGATAGTCCATAGCAGGCGGCTGGTCTCTCTCTTCTCTAGGGTGTAATACTTGATAGGAGAGCCTCCATCCTCAGTAGGAGCTGTCCAGGTAAGATTGACCTTTTCAGAGGAGACACCACTGCATTCAATGGGTCCAGGAGCACTAGGAACATCCAGAACTGTGACCTTGACGGTTTCCTCCTTCACACCAAAGGGGTTACTGGCAGTGATGATATACTCGCCACTGTCCTTCCTGCCAGCATACTTGATGGACAGGGTGGAGGAAGTTGTAGTGGTCTCAATTTGAACAAGATCAGAGGGTTTAAAATACTTCCCTCCCTTTGACCAGCATGAAGTTGGTGCAGGTTTGCCTAAAATGCTTGTGGCAGTGATGACAATAGTATCACCAGCTCGGACAGTCAGTCCCTCCTTCACCTGAGTATCGATAATAATGGTCGGTGCAGCTGTGGAATAAAACAGGAAAAATATATTATGCCAGGATGATCACAGATCACAAGTATACTGCAACATGAGTGAGACAATATATTATTGATATTATCGGTTGTTTTTACCATATTCATCTCTGCAGATAATGGTATCTGTCTGCTCTGAGGGCGGGCTGAGAGCGCCAGCAGCATTCTTTGCCCTGATTCTGAATTCGTATTTGCAGCCCTCCTGAAGATCATTTACAGTGAATGCAGGCTCCACAACATTCACATTGTTGGCTTTTACCCAGATCTTAGAAGGCAGATCACGCTTCTCAACAATGTAGCCAGTCAGTCTGTGGCCACCATCAAACTGTGGCTCGGTCCATTGGAGGGTCACAGTGCTTCTGGTAATGCTGATGACATCAGGTTTACCAGGGGCATCTAATGATATGGATTTAACAAAAAGAAATGCATTGTTTCATATTTTATTTCATATTGTACTTTTTCATACTCATTGCTAAACTTTGTACACTCACCAATGGGATCCAGTGCCACCCGTGGATCAGTGGGAGTGCTCGGCCTGCCGATGCCAGCCAGGTTGATTGCCATGACTCTGAACTCATACTCCAGACCTTCAGTCAGCCCAGTTACCTTGTGCTCCTTCATCCTCAAGGCAGCCGGGCTCGCCCTCTTCCACAACATACTGTTCCTCTCCTTGAACTCAACATGGTAGCCTGAATGTAGTACCAAACAGGAAAAACAAAATCTACATTGAGCTCACATGCACACCATATAGATAAAGAGCTAAAAGCAGCAAAGCAGTCAAATAATATAAGACAAAATAACATTGATGTTTGTCAGTAGGCAGGCCAAGTATCCAAGCTAACGGTACCTGTGATGGGAGATCCTCCAGTTTTCCTGGGGTCAGACCAGGCCAGGTAAGCGGAGTCGTGGCGCATGCTCATGATCTGAGGTGGAGGAGGAGCATCGGGAACATCTGAAGAAAAACAGTGATATTGTACAGTGAGGAGAAGCTTAATTTTTAAGTTAAACACTTGACATTCAGCCTTTAAAATATATGAGTTACAGTCACTTACTGAATGGATGTTTAGCAACGATGGGCTCAGACTTGAGTCCCTCTCCAACGCCGTACTTGTTCTCAGCACAAACTCTGAAGATATACTCTGTGCCCTCATGGAGACCAGTTACCCTCATGGTGTTGTCCTCCACAGTTGAGGAAACAGTCACCCACATGTTGGTGATGGAGTCCCTCTTTTCCAGGATGTAGTTTGTGATCTCTGAACCACCATCATCCTTAGGAGCACCCCACTTCAGTGTAGCACCATCGGCAGCAACATCTTTGAACTTAATGGGTCCAACAGGGATGCCGGGTTTACCCACCACCCTGAAAGGAGATGGTTCAATTGTCACTTATTTAAACATAGCAAGTAATGCATGGATATGATTGAACTAGTATAGCTTGACCCATTCTGAGGAAAATATTATCTTCATGTTGTATTACATACTCTGACATTGAAAACCCTGGTAAAGCATGATTCCCACCTGATGAAAATGGTGGACTCCTTGGTTCCAGCACTGTTCCTTAGGGTGATGGTGTATTTGGAAGCATCACTCCTCTGGCAGTCCCTAATAAAGAGCGTAGTGTTGACTGAAGAGGACTCTGCACATACTCTGCCGGTGTCTGTCAGGTCTTCGTCATCTCCCTTTTTCCAGGAGACCTTGGGAATAGGTTTGCCGATGATCGGGATCTTCAGACGGACAGTGCTGCCCTCCTTGGCGATGTAGCACATGTTGGGCAGCTCCCTCAAGTCACAGCTAGGAGAGACTACAGAGAGAAAGAATGCGAATTTAAAAATGTTACTTTGAATACTCCTTAAATAGTTCTTTGTTGGTAAGTTTTATAAACATGGACAGTCGCTTACTGATCTGGTCCTTGGCGACAACTGCGAGTTCCTTGACAGCGCCCTCTCCTGAGTCATTCACAGCCTTGACTCTGTAGTTGTACTCTTTGCCCACCACCAGATCCTTGGCACTGTATTGCATGTTTTTAGACCTCATTAGCTCCTTGTACTTGTCATCACCATTGAGAACTTCCAGCACATAGCAGATGATACGGCTGCCACCATCAGTGAGGGGTTTCTTCCAGCTTAGAGTGCAAGAGTCCTTGGTAACCAGTAGGGTCTTGAAGTCCATGACAGGCCCTGGCTCCTCTGGAAAAGTAAAAATGAGGGTGGTGAGTATGATATTTGCAAAAACAAAAAACAAAAGAAGCACAAAATCTGTCATCAAACCTACCAGATGCTCTGACTGAGTCGGCTGTCTCACAACATTCTCCAGCACCAAGCTGGTTAACTGCTGACACTCTGAAGCAGTAGGACCGTCCAGCATCCAGGTCCGGCACCTTGAATGATGTCTTGTTGCAGTTGTTGGAGACGACGGACCAGGCCTTCCTCTCAGTGTCACGCTTCTCCACAATGTAGTGTGTGACTTCATAGCCACCGTCAATAAGTGGGGCATCCCAGTACATGGAAGCACTGTCCTTGGATGTTTCCTTCACCATCAGGTTGACTGGTGGTCCGGGAGAATCTGGAGAGTTACAACAACACTTATAATGGTGTCTGCAGAGTACAACCAATGCAAACAAACTGTTAATATTTATTAACTGAGCAAATGCAATAATCTCAGTCCTTCACTCACCAAAAACCTTGACAATGATGGTGTACATCTTCATGCCAGCCAAGCCCTCCAGGTTCAGAATGTATTTGCCAGCGTCATATCTGTTGACATGCTCCACCACCACCATGGTGTCAGTGTTGGTGGATTTAATGACAATGCCCTGGCGGTCCTTGATGTTGGTGTTCATCTTTGCCCAGGTGATCCTGGGAATGGGACGGCCCTTGATGGTGGCCTGCAGCCTCATGGTGGTTCCAGCCTGCAACTCCAGGACCTCCTTCAGCTCCGCACTCAGCTCTGCTTCGGGAGCAACTGCATGAACACACACAGAGGAAAGTTTTATGAGTGTGTGGAAAGACTTATTATTGAAATGGCAATACACAAGGGCCCTTTTATCAAAGCAGCTGTAAATGTGTGAAGTGTAAGGTAAAAATGTAAAATTGTATTGTATGTATGGAATGGAATATTTAGGTGAAAATAACATATGAGTTCCAACTTGGACTCCCTATCAAAATAGTGTTGAATAAAATCAAAATCATACTTACCGATGATGTCCTTGGCAACATGCTTGCCAGGTACTTCAACAGGCTCGCTGAAGCCAACCTTGTTGACAGCACTGACGCGGCACTGGTACTCAGACTTGTCAATAAGGTTCTGTATGACGTAGTTGGTCTCCTGCAGGTTCCTGGGGACATTGCAGCGGATCCAGTCTGTGGTGTCAGTCCTCTTGCACTCCACCAAGTATCCAATAATAGGGCATCCACCATCATTGGCGGGAGCAGTCCAGGTGAGGCTGATGGTGCTGTGGGTGGTGTCCGTCACACTGGGGTTCACAACGGGGCCAGGAGGAGCTGGGGAACAGCACATTGACGCAGGTTAGATTAAATACTGACAATATACATATTATTTCATTAAAAAAAGAACTTTGCATAGTTTTTAGAGGTCATAGAACTCACTGATGGGATTCTGTGCGGTGGTGCCAGCGGAGGGCTCGCTGGGTTTGCCAAGCCCTGCCACGTTGACAGCAATGACTCTGAACTCGTACTCGACTCCCTCTGTGAGGCCTGTAACTTCGAGAGTCCTCTCCGTCATGGGCTTCCTGTTCACCTTGGTCCAGTTCATCTCCTTGGTCTCTTTCTTTTCCAGCATGTAACCCAGGATGGTGGACTTTCCATCATCGGCAGGCTCCTTCCAGCTCACAGTCATATGATCTTTGGTCATATTGGTAATCACTGGGGCCTCACAAGGGCCAGGCACAGCTAGAAGTGACACCAGAGTTTTTGGTTTTAGTTTAGGTATTAAAGTAGAGTTTTAAATAAGCAAACAAATGAAAGCACATTGTGATAAGAAGCTTTAGTTGTTGACAGAATATGCAATGTCACAGTACGCTGGATAGAGTAGTGTAGATGCTGCCTGTTGTATCTCAAAGTTTTTGACTAGAGTATTTTAAATTGTAGTACTGACTGCTAAAGTTCTTCACTACCATTATTGCTATGTGTGTGCATGAACTCAGAGGAAATGCTGGCGATGACTCACAGAATGGGTTCTTGGCGACGACAGGGTTGGTAATGAGGGCATCTCCAACTCCCCAAGTGTTCTCAGCACGGATTCGGAACTGGTACTCATGACCCTCGATCAGCTTCTCCACGTTAAGCTCAAGGACCTCACCCTTGATCTTGGCGGAGACCTGGGCCCAGTTGGCCCTGCTGGTTTCACGCTTGTCCACAATATAGTTGCTGACAGAGGCTCCGCCGTCCTGCAGAGGTGGCTCCCAGGACATCTTGATACGGGTGGCAAACACCTCTATGTATTTGGCACTGGCAGGAGGGCCAGGCACATCTGACATGACACAAAACAATAAAATATCAGTCAATTGTGCACAGCATGTTGCTTGCTGAAGCCTTGTACATATTATGCAGAATTTAAGGTCCAGTGTGTTACATTTAGGAGGATCTATTTTCAGACATGGAATATAATATTCATGTTTTCATTAGTATATAATCACCTGACAATAAGAATCGTGTTTTTGTTATCTTAAAATTAGCTGTTTTATCTACAGAGTAAGCTGGTCCTCTTCTACAGAGTCCTCCATGTTTCTACAGTAGCCCAAAATGGGCAAACCAAACAATGGATCTTGATAGGGGTGTTCGCATTTTTTGCAAGTTGCACAGCCATTATAGTTTCTCCTACACACTTGCAAGGCAAGCAGTATTCAGTTTGTCGAAATTTGTAACTTCACCTCTAGATACCACTAAATCCTACACACTGGTCCTTTAATGTGAATACAGCTTTTAGATTGTGACACCCCTAAAAGAAGAGACTAAAGTACTCACCCAGGACGTTGACCTGGATTTCGGCGGTCTTGGAACCACTGGCATTCTCAGCAGATATGGTGTAGGTTCCTGTGTGCTCCTTGGTGACTGCCATTATCTCCAGCTGGAAGTGATTCCTTTGCTGGGTAATGACCTGGCCTTCACCTGACTTTAGGCTATCGTCACCTCTCTTCCAGGTCACTCTGGGCATAGGCTTACCGAACACCTCAGCCTCTAGGAGGATTGTGGATCCCGCCTTCACCTTCAAACCCTTCTGCATTCTGGCATTAAGCTCCACCCTTGGAGGGACTGTGTTTGTAAAGGTGAGATAAAGCAGTGTTACTGTCAGTGAGAGTCAGAGACTGCAGTTGCTTTGTTATTTTAGTGACTGGTTTATCAGCCTGGTCACAAGTGTGTTAGATCAAAACCTCTCACCATTCTCGGCACAGACCAGGACAGGGTCTGTGGGCTCGGAGGGTTTGCTCAAGTTGACAGCAGTTTTGGCAATGACTCTGAACTGGTACTGCAGGTCTCTCTCCAGGCCAGTCACTGTATACTCCTCCCTTGGGACGTTCTGGCTGCTAGTGTTGCAGCGGATCCAGATGTCTCCAGGCACCCGCATGGCCTCAACGTAGTAGCCAATGATCTTGCTGCCACCGTCGTTCTTGGGACGGGTCCAAACAAGAGTGACAGAGTTCTTGGTCACGTCCAGGACCTCAGGTTTACCTGGAGTGTCTGTGAAAAAGGGAAAAATGAGCAAAGGTAAGGAAACAAGATTAAATGAATAGAATAAAGCTTTTTGTGTAGATGTTATTTCCGAGGTGGCAAACCTACCAATAGGCGTTCTGGCAGTGACAAAGTCAGTCTTCTTGCTTGCTTTGCCCTGGCCAGCACGGTTAATGGCGGACACTCTGAAAGTGTATTCCAGGCCCTCAATGAGGCCGGCACATGGGTACTCAGTGGTGCGGACAACAGTGTCATTGGCCTTCACCCACAGCAGGCTGTTCCTCTCCTTACGCTCAATATAGTAACCTGTGATAGGACTGCCACCATCACTTTCAGGCTTATCCCAGGCCACGAACATACAGTCTTTGTTGGTCTTGTTGATGCGGCAGTTGAGGGGTTCACTAGGAACATCTGGTGACCAAAAAAACCAAAATTAATATTGCCTGTAATGATAAAACCAACTTAAATCTAAAGCTAATGAAAGACTGCCCAGGGAAATATTTCAGTTATCTTACCGAAGGGGAACTTGGCAACCATCCTGTCAGACTGAATAGGGTCTGACACGCCATAACGGTTCTCAGCACGGATACGGAACGCATACTCCTTTCCGGGGATGAGCTTCCCAAGCCTGCAACTTGTCTTCAGACCAGAAGAGACCGCCATCACCCAGTCGCCTCTACTCACATCGCATTTTTCCACCACATAGTTGGTGATATTACTGCCTCCGTCCTCCAGTGGTTTGTTCCAGGACAAAGAACAGGCATCAGAGTCAATGTCACTGATCACCACAGGGCCCTCGGGAGGACCGGGGATGTCTGAAACACGTGGGAATAAATAGCTATAAACATATCCATCACACCAGGTAAATCTGTTCTTCCCAAAATCTTCAAAATACTTTTAATTTCTTCAAATTATCTTATGGTGGGTTATACTGACCTCTAATGATGATCTTCAGGGTCTCGACCACCTTTGCAGAGCTGTTCTCAGCCACCAGGCTGTACTCTCCACTATCAGTCCTTGACACATCTTTGATGATCAAGACACACATGTTGCCGGACTGGTGCACGGCCAGACGGCTGGACGGGACAACTGCATTCTCACCACGCATCCACTTGCAGGTTGGGGCAGGTTTTCCAGAAACCAGTGCTTCCACTCTGAGCTTGGCTCCAGCTCTGGCGCTTGCTGTCTCTGGCATGACAATCTTTGGCTCCACTGCAGGTGAGAACATGAGAATTTGATTTGATTATCCAGGAAAGCTAAAAAGCAGCCCAGAGATAAAAAATGTTGGTCTAATTCAGTGCTATCTCTAGATCTTACTTTACTATGTTACCATCACCAATATTTCTTATTTCAAAATATGTCCTAATCAAGAGATATTTGAACATAAGACAATTTAACTGGCCTGAATAAATGATAAACTATTTTTTAATAATCTCTTAATAATCTGACGTGACAACTTACACATCTGTTCCTTGATCTCGATCGGCTGCCTAGTCTCGGTGAACGAGCTCATGCCCATGATGTTCTTGGCAGCCACTCTGAACTTGTACCTCTTGCCCTCCTTGAGGCCGCTGATGCTGATCATCAAACCTTTCACTGTAGTGTAGGCGTTCCAGACTTCCTTTTCAGGTTCTTCTTCTTCCTCTACCACTGGAGGTGGTGGGGGTGGTGGTGGAGCTTCCTCTCCCTCTGGAACCTGTGGCAAATTGAGGTTTGTAGATTAGCACATACAGCTTAATTTGATTTACTACAATCTTATGGTGATATCAATGGATCAAAGCAGTCAGAGAAGAATCATTGATCATATGACAAACCTCCACAGGTGCTGGAGGCTCGGGAGGAGGTTTGACCTCAATGTATTCAATTACGTAACCATCTATCTTGGCACCACCATCCCTTGCAGGCTTCACCCAGCCGACTGTGGCACTGTTCTTAGTGATCTCCAGAACCTCAATCTTCTCACAGGGATCGGGCTTGCCTGTAGAAGATAATCAGAAAGGTATGTTCAGATGTTCCTAATCATTGAGAAAAGAGAACCGAGCAGTGCGTGTGTGAGTTCTTAGTTCTGCTGTCACATTGTGGGACTAAGAGACAATACGTACTGACAGGATCAGAGGCCAGGTAGGAAGTGGGTGACACTTTGGGAACTCCAGACCCGTACTCATTGACAGCTGTGACTCTGAAGTAGTACTCAGTGCCTGGCATCAGGCCACTGACTTTGAATGGAATCTTATCCTTCTCAACTTCGCCCTTGACAGTTGCCCACGTCTTGCGGTCGATCGCACGCTTCTCGACAATGTAGTGAGTGACCTCACTGCCACCATCAATCTCTGGAGGACTCCAGGACAAGTTTGCTGATGTCTGTTTGATGTCAGTAGCTTCCAGATTCAGCACAGGTCCCGGAGTGTCTGTCATTAAAAATATTAGAATATTATATTGTTTTTTTTCTTGATTCAACTGAAAGATGGCATTTTGATGTGAGCAACCTTTTGTGATTGTCAAATGCAACAACTTGTGTGTAGTATTAAAAGAAAACCAGAACTTACCCAGAACCTTAACATTGACAAACACAGCCTTCTCTCCGGCAGGACTCTGTAGAGTCAGACAGTATTTGCCAGAATCGTTACGGGTGCTATCAGGGATGACCAGGAAGGTCATGGTGTCAATGATGTCGACTTTTCCCTTCCTGACCACGTTGTCAATGCCCATCCTCCTCCAAGTGACTTTAGGAGGTGGTCTACCTCTGATGGTAGCACATAGTCTGATGGGACAGCCGGCTCTCACTGTCAGTCCCTGCTTCAGGCTGGCGTCCAAGTCAATCTCTGGTGCCTCTGTCAGAAGGAACAGTGCAGGTATCAGCTTGGTGTTGCAAGTATGGATCACAGTTTGCACATTCTAGTTCCGCCCCCATGTTATCATGTGAAACTCATATTAGCCTAGTTAACATAAAAGCAACTAAAATTTAATTAAGTTCTCACCTAGAATCTCCTTGGGGATCACAGCACCTTCCAGGTTGCAGGGCAGGCTCATGCCCACTTGGTTCTGAGCAGACACTCTGAATTCATACACAAGTGTCTCATCCAGACTTGAGACTGTGAACTCACATACGACCAGCTGAGCTGCCACATTGCACCTCTTCCAACTATCGTCTCCTTTCTTGGCGCTTCCCTGTGCCCTCATCTCCACAACATAGCCAATGATAGGAGCTCCACCATCGGATACAGGCTTGGTCCAGCCCAGGGTGACAGTGGACTTGGTGCTGTCCAGGACCTTCAAGTTGCTAGGTGGTGCTGGAGGCTCTGTATAAAGACATAGGGGTGTGTGAAAATGTCTATAGTAATCCCAACACAAGGTAAATTTTTTAGTAAATATATATTAGACACAATGAAAACATTATAACTGGTTACATACCAACTGTGTCCTTGGCAGTGATGGCACGTGAAGGCTTGCTTGGGTTGCCAATGCCAACTTCATTGACAGCCTTTACTCTGTACTGGTAGTCATGGAGGGGCAGTAGTCCAGTGACTGTGAAACGAGTTCCAGGCAATGGATCCTTGTTGACAGGAGACCACCTAACAGCATGCTCCTCCCTCTTTTCCAACAGATAACCTGTGATTGGCTTTCCGCCATCTTTCTCTGGCTCTGACCACTCCACAGCCATTTCTTCTTTAGCAATCTTGGTGACCTCTGGTGCCTCAGGTGCATCAGGCACACTGAACTGGGTGCCAGCGACAATGGCCTCACTCTGCACTGCAGGGCCAGGACCCATCTTATTCTCAGCACGAACTCTGAAGATATACTCATTGCCCTCAATCAGACGGGTGACCTTAGCTTTATTGGTGATGACAGCATTGGAGTGGACAGACCAGACGCCTCTCTTTGTCTCACATTTCTCAATAATGTAGTTGTAAATATCACAGCCGCCATCATCCTCTGGGACTTCCCAGGCCAGATTACACCTGTCAATGGTGATACCAGACACCTTGAGTTCCCTGATGGGGCCAGGTCTATCCAGGACATTGACCTTTGCATGAGCAGAGCAGGTTCCTGCACTGTTGGAGGCAGAAACAACATATTTGCCACTGTCAGTGCGCCTGGCGCCAGTAAGCAGCAGCTTTGAGAAGTCAGTGCCAGTTTCAATCTGAAGCCTGGGGGTCTTCTTTATCTCCTCTGTGCTTTCATCCTTGGTCCATTTGACATCAGGCTGAGGTTTACCCTTTACTGTTGCCTCAATAGGAATTGAGTCTCCTGCCTTGACCACGAGTGTTCCATCCAGTTTAATCTTGATTTCGGGCTCCACCAGCTGTTCCTTAACCAGGACTTCAGCTGTGGTCACCCAGTTGCTCTCACCTCCCTCATTCTTTGTCTGAACTCTGAACTGGTAGATCTGGTTTTCAATGCACCTGTCAGCCATGAAGTAAGTCTCCTTGATGGCACCCTTGTGAAGCCTCTCCCACTCCTCAGCCTCTTTTGGCTTCTTCTCAACATGATAAGCGATGTTACGGCTACCGCCATCATAGTCTGGCTTCTTCCACTTGAGGAAGCAGAAGGTTTTGCCAATTTCAGCGATGTGGAAGTCAATGGGTTCACCAGGCTTCTCAATGGGATCAACTGCCAGAACAGGTGTCTTGGTCTCAGTGGATGGGCCAGCGCCGATCTTGTTCTCTGCGCTGACACGGAAGAAGTACTCGCAGCCCTCAGTAAGAGGGGCCTTTATCAGGCGCTTGGTGCAGTCATTGGAGACCATGGTCCATCCTCTCTGGCTGGGCTGACGGCACTCAATAATGTACTGAGTGATCTCAGTGCCTCCATTGTCTTCAGGGTTCTCCCAGGACACCATGCAGGAGTTCTTGGTTATGTACGCTACTTTCAGGTTTTGGCAAGCTCCTGGTGTGTCAAGAACATTGACAATAATGGTGGCCTGTGCCTGTCCACTACTGTTTTTGGCGACAATGGCATATTTACCGTAGTCTGACCTGACTGCATCATTGATGACCAGTTCACACAGAGGGTAGTTGTTGTTAATATCAGTGCGCTTGTCCCGAGACAAGGCTCTGGCATCTTTGGTCCATGTGATCTCTGGGTCTGGTCTGCCCTTCACCCTGGTAATCAAACTTATGATCTGACCTGCCCTGACCGTCAGAGAGTCACGGCAGGACACATCAACAACAACCTCTGGGGGCACAAGGATGTCCTTTGCTAGGACAGTTTCAGTAAGTTCCCTGGGTTCACTGTCTCCAACCTTGTTGGTGGCTCTGATGCGGAATCTGTACTCCATTCCTTCAATGAGACCTGGTACTCTGTAGGCACACATTTTGATAAGGTCCTTGTTGATTCTATCCCACTGGGCAGTTCCTGACTTCTGAGCCTCAACCAAATAGCCCAGGATGGGACTGCCTCCGTCTCTTGTAGGCTTGGTCCAGCAGATGTCAGCATATGACTTGCTCCAGTCTTTCAGTTTAGGATTGCCTGGAGGTCCTGGTTTGGTGATGGCACGTGTGGCTTTCACAGGGTCAGAGGTGGGAGAAGGCTCGCTGATACCAGCAATGTTCTCAGCGAATACTCTGAACTCATAGCTGTTACCTTCAAACAGGCCTGAGACTCTGTATCTGAGGTCCAGCACAGGAGTTTTGTTGACACGGATCCACTTTCCTGTCATTTCTCTGCGTTCAATTACATAACCACTAATAGGGCTTCCTCCATCATAGTCAGGCAGGGTCCATTCCACTGTCACAGCATTCTCTGTAATATCAGAGCACATAGGCAGGCCTGGTGGTCCAGGAGGGTTGAACATGTGCTTGGCAATAGTGGGAGGACTTTCAAGTCCTGCGCCAATACCAAGCTTGTTCTCTGCACGGACACGGACAATGTACTCACGACCCTTCTCCAGCCTGGGCACTTTGGCCTTGGTGCCGGTGCCGCTGGAGCTAACTACAGACCAGGGCTCCCATGGCTTCTTTACATCCTTCTTTTCCACCACATAGTTGGTGATAGGCGTGCCACCATCATCCTTAGGTGCCCTCCATTGGATCATCATGTAATCAGGGGTGACCTCCAAGATGTTAATGGGTCCAGTGGGTGCACCTGGGAGATCCAACACGGTGACATGCAGGGCAACTGTCTTGCTACCTGCAGGATTAGCCACAGTGAGGATGTACTCTCCAGTGTCTCCTCTCTGGCATTCAGGGATAGTGAGGATAGTGGAGGATCCAGCACACTCAATGTTATAGCGGCCCTCAGATACAATATCTTTGCCATCTGTCATCCATTTGGCGGTAGGAATGGGGATGCCTGTCATCTTGGCTGGAAGTACAATGATACTGCCAGCTTTGACAACAAGACCTTCAATAAGCTTCACATCAACTTCAATAGTTGGTGGCACTGAAAGAGAAGTAAACGGCAATAATATTAGGATGATTTTCAGGCTCAGAACATACAGTAATTCCCATAAAGGAAAACAAGTCCATAACAATCATGTATCTTACATGTCTTCTCCTGGCAGGTGATGGGAATGCTGGTGTCAGGACGGCTAATGCCGATGGCATTCTGAGACTTGACCCTGAAGCGGTAAGTCTTCCCCTCCACCAGACCAGTGACATGAGCATGGTTGTTGCTGACTGTCTTGAAGGTTACCCAGTCAGTCTGGCCCTCTTCCTGGTGCTCCACAATGAAGCCGGTAATTTCACTTCCACCGGTGCGGTCAGGCCACTCCCATTCCAACCAAACTTCTGTCTTGTCTGCATCAGTGTGGTGCAGGTTCTTAGGTGGGCCAGGAGGATCTGAAAGATGTCCAGGAAGGAACAATTAATTGCTAATTATTGGTAGATTTTAATTTATTATTTAAATTTGCTGATGATCTTTGATGAGATGGTATGCTCATAAGGATCGGGCTGGCACTGCTGCCATAAGCATATTGATTTACAAAATGATGAAAAATCTATTATTTTAATTGTAAAATTTTAATAGGTAAAATGATACAACAAAACATAATTATGACTTTTACTCACAGAGAGGGTCGAGAGCCTTGATGGGTGTCTTGGTCATCACGTAGTCACTCCTGCCGAACTGGTTCTCGGCAGCCACTCTGAACAGGTACTGGATTCCTTCCATCAGGTACATGGCCATCAGACTCAGCTTCTTATTGGCTGCAGAGACGGGCACCCACTGCTCAGCAGCCACATCCTTCTTCTCCACAATGTAGTGGGAGATGACAGCGCCGCCATTGTCCTCAGGAGCCTTCCACGTCAGGTAGGCAGACTCGCTGGTCACCTCAGAAACCACGAGATCTCTGGGAGGAGTGGGTTTGTCTGGTGGAAACCAGGGTAAAATAAATGAAGATATATTGTTTTTCTTCATGGCATGACAAAAAATCAATTATCAAATTATCAAATTAATTATTTTGTTTAAGAATGTTTCACTTACTCAGCACAAGCACAGCAACGGTTGCTGATTTCTTTCCAGCAGCATTCTCCGCAGTGATGGTGTAGTTGCCAGAGTCTGCACGGACCGACTTGGGGATGAAGACTTTGCTGCCGGTGGCGGTGACAGCGACAGTGATGTGAGTGGGAACGTCACCATCGTTCTTCTTCCAGCTGACGGTGGGTGTCGGTACGCCTTTAATAGTGGCGCTCAAGGTAATGTCAGTGCCCAGCATGGCCAGGTGGTCACGTGCCATGTTGGCGTCAAGCAGCAACTCTGGCTCCTCTGTGGAGGGAAATGGGAATATATTACTTGAATTTATAGAAAATGTATAGCTAAGGCCAAAATAAACTCAAACACAAGATTGTTGTCTACCTGCTAATTCATTGCTGACAGACTGAAACTAAATTATATGACGTCATATTCACAAACAGTAGTAATGCAATAATGTGCATGTAGTAATGTACATGTAGTAAACGTGGTATAGTTAATGTTAGTTACTACTTTTAAGGATGTTTTGGATTTTTGGATAGAAGAAGAGTTATAAATGAGTCCCTTACCCAGTCTGTCGTGGACTTTGATGGGTTGTTTAACCAAGGCAGGGTCAGATTTGCCGGCTGCATTAACAGTGAAGATCCTAAAGATGTACTCCTGTCCATCGGTTAGGCCTGTCACCACATAGTGGAGGTCGGGGCACTGCTCCGGAGTCTCATTGGCAGGAGTCCACTCCACAGCACCGGGCTTTTGGTACTCGACAAGGTAACCCAAGATCCGGCCTTTTCCATCATGGCGGGGCATCTTCCACTTCAGGCTGACTGAGTCCTTGGTCTTATCATAGGCCTCGGGGGTCACTGGAGGGCTGGGACGCACTGTGACGAGAAAATGTCAAAGAAGATTGTCAACTATGGTCCTGTATTAACCCTGGTAGAAAGAAATGTTTTGCTTTTTGTATAGTGATATAGATGTTAAAAATAGATAATTTGTAAATACTACATAGAATTTAAGAAAAAAATAAATAAAATAAAATAAAATAAAATAAAATAAAATAAAAAATAAAATAAATATGAATATAGAATATAGTCTTGAAAGATAATAGAAATATGGATAATATGTACATCTATAACAACGTTTTCCATGAGTTTGTGTTGCACTAACCGATGGGATCTTTGGCAAGGATGGGTTTGGAGGGTTCACTGGGGTCTCCAGTTCCCAGCTCGTTCTCGGCCATCACCCTGAACTCATACTCGCAGCCCTCCACCAGGTCCTGGACTCGGTACTGAGTGGCCGGGTACAGCGGATCTCTGGTGGCTCTTGACCACCTCTTGGCTGTGGGCTCCTTCTTTTCTAGGATGTAGTTGGTGATGGGTTTTCCGCCGTCGCGAGGACGGTTCCACAGCACCAGAGCATTGGTGGCGTACACCTCTCTGACCGTTGGCATATCAGGGGCCTCTGGGACTCCTGTGGGGAGGAGGGGGGAGCAGAAGAAAAACTAGGCTATCAAAGCTTTTTTTTTAGAATCCATTTCCATTGCAGAAAGAACATTTATAGGATGGTGTAGTTTTTCCACACCTTTATTTTATATGGGCAAAATTGATTTTATTCTGTAGTTCAGGGGTTCAAGTTCTGTCCAATGTGATGTTCCTTATTGATTAAAACTGTATATCACTGGCTTCTGCTCATTCATAATTATCTCAGGAATTTGTTGTTATCCATTGAGTGCCGCAATGTTACACATTACGTTAACACATGAAAATATGGTAAAAACAGAAAATATGTAAAAAGAAATAGCTGCAAATGGTTTAAAAAGGGTATATAAGGTACTGAGCAAACATGCTCCAATATTTTCCTTTTAGCAGTATTTAATACTACAAATAGTATCCATGACTTATAAAAGGAAGTGATATAACTCAGTATTTTGTGGGAGTTTGAGTGCAACACTATCAGGGGAATTTTGCAACTGAAAAAACAAAACAAAAAACAGACAAATTCTAAAATAAAATAAATTCCTCTTGTGAAGACGACTGAATGCTTGGGGCTTCCTTTTGATTTAGGCTACTTTCATATTTTCAAGGGAGTTTTGGTACCATCAAAAAATGAATTTCCTCAAATAAATTTTGTAAAACTGAAATGTGAAAACAGTAAATGTATGTCGGCAGGGTTTAAGCAGAACGTACTGAAGAGATCTTTGGCTCTCATCTCCTCGGACTCCAGAGGGTCACTGATGCCGTACATGTTCTCAGCAGAGATCCTCATGATGTATTCCCTGCCCTCAGTTAGCTTAGGGATCTGAGAGAAGAAAAGAACCACCAAAGTATAACAACCTCGTCCACTGGCACATCGCAATTTTTAAAATGACAGCTGACAGAATTTTTGTCAACAGCCAAATTGGACCCACCTTGCATGTAGTCTTGGTGGTGGCAGACGTCACTGTGGTCCACATGTCTCTGTTGGTGTCTCTCTTCTCAATGATGTAATTGGAGACATCAATGCCACCGCTGTCCAGAGGAGGTTTCCAGGAGATTACCATGTACTCTCTGTGAACCTCATCAAACACCACTGGGCCAACAGGAGGGGTCGGGCGGTCTGCAGGGAGGAAAGAAACAACGGTCTTGGGTGGTGCTATTACTTCTGGTGTCCCACAGGGTTCTATTCTTTCCATTCTCTATTCTGGTTTATTTCACATAAAAACCTTTTTTATGTATGTTTACATTTTAATAGGTCTAGATTTTTCAGTGGAAAATGATACTCAAAAAGTATCATTCCGGCAGAGATACTGAAATTGAGCTGTTTAAACTGGTATCTAAACATAAATCAGTTGAAAGCTTTGACTAGGGGGGCCCCTTTAAATCTAAATCAAGAATTTAGTTGCTACATTATTTATCATCATCTTCATCTATATTTCCAGCTCTTTTTGTTGATGATACTAGCTTATGTCATATTCTCTACATGAGTTTTGCCCACTTACCGACAACCGTGATGTTGCAGACTCCCTTCCTAGATCCGGTACTGTTCTCAACCACTACCACATATCTGCCGCTGTGCTCGCGCTGCGCCTTCATTAGGCCGAGCGACATGGTGGTCAGCGTGTTCTTGAACATAATGTGTTTGTCGGCCTTCAGCTCATCATCATCTCGGTACCACGCAATGGATGGAGAAGGTTTACCGGTGTAGCGGCCCTGCAGCAGGCAGCTCTCACCCACACGGATTATTATCTTATCACGGAAGTCCAGCTCGATGGTTGGCGGCTCTGTAAAAGATTAAACAAAGACAGATGAAGTGATATGCGGATATTCAATTATTCCCTTTCTATTCCTTATTCAAAGCTGTGATTTGTTTTTTTCATCTTTATCTACCTTTGTCTTAATTTTTGCTGATGATACTGGCAGGTTTGTTTAAAAAAACAAAACTAAAACAGTATATATTTCTCAGCCATTTTTCAAGGTGACTTATTTGATAACTCTTTAACTACCTTTAGACAACAGCTAATGTTAGCCCTCAACCGCGTCCTACCTAACAATACTGTTCAATAGCCCTACACAATATGATAGAAAAGGCTTTCCACCCTTTGAGCTTTCCACCCTGAGCACAATGTAAAAAATGGCAACTGTGCGAATATGGCGAATTGTTGCCAATATTACAAAAGTCAGATTAAAACATACAAAGCTGGTCCTGTTAATAATAAGTCCTTACCCAGTTCGTCCTTGCAGGTGATGGGTTTGGTGCTGAATGACGGCTTGCTCGGGCCGACCTCGTTGACAGCCATGACCCTAAACTGATAGGTGTCACCCTCCCTCAGGCCATCGTAGGTATACTTCCTTTCCATCAGCTTCTCCTTTGTCAGTCTGGTATACTTGTCTTTGCCGATCATACGCGCCTCCAGGATGTACATGGTGATCTCTGAACCACCGTCAAACTTTGGTGCCTTCCAGGTGACGCTGATCAAATCCTTGGTTACCTTGGTGACTTCAAGCTCCTCTGGGCGGTCAGGCACACCTGAGGGGAGCACAAACACATTTGGTTGGTTATTTATATATGAAGATGGGAACTCATTTATGGGTTTGTGTTGTTTTCGGTTCAGTTTTAATTTATCCATTGGATAATGTTTACATTCAGAGACAAGCAGAGACAATGATTGTAAACTCACTGATTGGTTCCTTGACGATAATCTCGGCTGAGGTCTCCATGAAGGGTCCAATGCCGATGGCGTTCTCTGCAGCCACTCTGAAGAAGTAGGACTTTCCAGTGGTGAGCCCTTGAGCCACGGCGTTCTGTCTGCTGGCGGTGAAGGACAGTGAGGTCCAGGCCTTACGCTCAGCCTCACGCTTCTCGATGATGTAGTTACTGATGGGAGAACCACCGTCGTTCTCTGGGAAGTACCAGTTGAGCTTGCAGGATTCACTGCTCAGGTTCTCGGCGGTGAAGGGGATGCCAACGGGTCCAGGAACATCTGAGGTAGGACACAACCGGGGTTTAATAAATATATAACCTCGGGGGAATAAATATAATGAAGAGTCATAAGATGTCTAAGAAAATAGTATTTTACCCAGAACTTCAACAGTGATGTTCTTCGTTTTCTCCCCGCCAGCATTCTTGGCGGTCAGCGTGTAGACGCCGAGGTGTCTCCTGGTGCAGGGTTTGATCACCAGTGATGAGCTGATCGCTGTTGTCTCCACTTTAGCCTCAGGAGGCAGTGCAGCTCCATCTCTGCTCCAGGTGATGTCAGGGGACGGCTGGCCTGACACGTAAGCAATGATACGAATCACGCCCCCAGCATGGACCACCATCCTCTCCTTTACCGAGGCGTCCAGGTCGACCTCAGGAGCAACTGCGGGAAAAAAACTCAATATTACTCTGCTTTTTACAACCAAACTGGATAAATACTGTACTACCTTAGAGGTCATATTGTTGAGGGAACCATGGTTTGAAATGTGTAACCCTCTTAGACTTTCAGATGGACTCACTGGTTCTGTCGTTGACCTCGAGCACCTCTGGGACTTCTCCTGGCTCGCCGTTACCGGCAACATTGAAGGCAATCACCCTGAACTTGTACTTACCACCAGTCTTCAGACCGGTAATAACAAGTCGGGTGCCGCGGATTTCGGTCTCCTTGGCCTGTAAAACAAAAAAAGAGTCAAAGGCTGCTTTTTAACTTAGCTCTATCTCTAAAACTAGGTCCTTGATCAGTGGTGTTATAAAAATGTGGTGACTGATTCCCTCTCACCTTAACCCAGGCCTCAGTGCCCTCCTCCTTATACTCCACCCAGTATCCAATGATCTTGGAGCCTCCGTCCTTCAGAGGAGGAATCCACACCAGATCCACTGTGGACTTCGTCCAATCAGAAATCTTCGGGGTTGGAGGAGAGGGCGGGGCTACAGGGAGACATAGAAAGTTAATATCCTGTGTTTATTTAAATTAGAAACTTGTGTGATTTAAGTGTCTGACTCTTACAGATGGGGTCTCTGGCAAAGATAGGGTCTGTGGGAGGGCTGGCGAGTCCTGGTCCTGCAGTGTTAATGGCAGAGACTCTGAAGAGGTACTGGGAGCCCTCAATGAGTCCGCTCACGACGAATGACTCGCCCATTCCCATGGGACGGATGGGGTCGCGGGTGACACGTGTCCAGCGCTTGCCTGTTGTCTCTTTGCGCTCCAGCCAGTAGCCGGTGATCGGGGTGCCACCGTCATCCTCCGGCTCCTCCCAGTTGACGGTCATAGAGTCCAAGGTGACGTTGGTGACCGTTGGCTTCTCACACTGACCGGGAACAGCTGCAGTAGGAAGTATTTAACTTATATTAGTGACCAATCTAGTATTTCTGCATCAATGAGACAGTTACAGACTGTTTGAAGTATTTGTTGTTCTAGTCTAAAAATTTAATTTTTTTTTAAAACTCTGACTTACAGAAGAGGTTTCGTGCGACCTCTGGCTCGCTGTCCAGTGGCTCTCCAACTCCGTACTTGTTCTGGGCCATGATGCGGAACACATATTCGTGTCCTGCCATCAGGTTCTCCACCGTCCAGATCCGTTCTTTGGGCTCATTGGTGACGGGCACCCAGGTCTTCCTGTTGGCCACGCGCCTCCAGATGACGTAGTTTGTGACTTTGGAGCCACCGTCATCCTTTGGCGGCAACCAGGAGAGTGTTATCCTCTCGGCTCCGATCTCCTCAAATTTAATGGGAGCGGAGGGAGGACCAGGCCGGCCTAAAAAATAACAAAAAACTGGTTCAGACAACAGAAATCATTCAGGTGAATCACACCTGCAGTTCACTGCAATCAAGGGTTTTTTGTTCATGTTTTCAGAATTGTTTATTATTGTTTAGTTCTGATTTTCTCTAAATCATTGTTGACTCAGAGTTATTGATGCTTTGATGATCCAGGAGGTTATTGAGGCTTTCAGTGTGAAAAAACATAAAAAATAAAACTAATAGTGTAATAAAAATAAGTGTAACAGGTTTGTACCGAGCACGTTGAGCCTCATTTCCTTGGAGGCCTTGCCAAGGCTGTTGGAGGCCACCAGTGTGTACAGGCCGGTGTCGAGACGTTTGCCCTGTTGGATGAGCAGCGTGCAGCTCTCATCGGACACAATCTTGTTGATGTGCTCATCGTACTGGACTTCCACCTTGTCGTCAGACTTGTGGGGCGGAGCCTTATACCAGGTGAGCGTGGGGAACGGACAGCCGCGGATCTTGGCTACAATGCTGATGTCGGAGCCCTGCTCAACCTCCATGAACTCCTTCAGCTCGATGGATGGAGCGCCTGCAGAAGAAAAGGAGATAATGACACATTTTAAATTTGTTTCTCCTTTTGAAGACTTTTCTGTGTTTTTCTAGAAAACAGAGGTTGAAATTAATTGGGGAGAGCAAATGTTGGGGTTTAACAAATCAAGAACTTTGATCAGAATTTGAACCCATTGATTAAATTTGAGCTAGCCAAGATGTGTAGTTTCATCATTGTTATAATATGCAGTAACTACAGCTTAAATCCCCATAGGTCCTGGTCTTACAGGTCTGGTCCTGGATGACAATGGGTCCGGCTGTGGATGAAGGTCGGCTTGCTCCAGCCTGGTTGTACGCCACCACTCTGAACTCATACTCGTCTCCCTCAGTCAGGTCCTCCACCTCGAACCTGGTGGTGTCTACGTCTCTCCTATTACACCTGAAGGTCACAGCATAGACAGACGTTCAAGTTTTTTTTAAGTTTTTTTATTTAAAACTATACATCAGAAGGACCACATTTTTGAGTGTAAACCACAGATTGTATATGCTTTTTTCACAGAAGAAATTCTTCAAAAAGAATGAATAGTACTAATTGAATTGCAGGAAAACATTGAAAAATTATATATATAATATCGAAATATTAGGAATTGTCAACAAACATCAAAATGTCGTTGCCATGATTGATTGAGGAACATTTTTGACCTATCAGTGACTAGAAATCAATCACCTCGGTAACTAAGAGGTGACAGGTAAAGTACAGCTTTAGGGACCTGAGGCCCAGGTACAAAATTAGTCGGTTCCCAGGTTGGGTCTTAATTAGTATGAACCAAGTGGACCCTTTGGGTGATGATTTACCTCCTCCAGGACTCCTTCTGGGTGCCGCTGGCGTCCCAGCAGAGCAGATCAACGCTGTAGTGTGTGACAGGTGAACCGCCGTCGTTCTTTGGAGCCTTCCAGGTCAAAGTCACGGTGCCCTTCCTCACGCTCTGGATCTTCAACCTTGTTGGAGGATCAGGAGGATCTGCAACATAAAGATCACATTCTGGTGAGTACTGAGATGAAGCAAGGTCATTATTTAAAAAAAAAAGTAAATGTATTTCCTGGGTTTTTTGTGGTGCAGGAAATATTCAGATGATCATTTACCTAACTAAGAGTAGCAAGAGCACTGTGGTAAAATGCTATTAAGTAAAAGTCCATAAGTAAAAGTACAGAAGTGTTAAATTGTATAAATTAGTTTAAGTAGCATTAATTGAAATACAAGTACCTAAAACCTGTACCTAATTGAAGTACTAATTTAAATATACATATTTTTTCTCTCTGAGCAGCAGAAAACAGGTAATGAAAGAGATCAGACATACGGATTGGATCTCTGGCTTTGGTTCCCTCAACAGTCTCAGTGTACGGGCCGAAGCCAAAGCGATTTTCAGCCCGGATACGGAACAGGTACTCCTGACCATTGATCAGGTCTGGAACCACCAGAGACTGAGCAGCACAGGCCGGGTTCACCTTGAAGAACAAGATCAGAGTTGTGTTATTTTTTAATATCCGCACTGATTTTCCCGCTGCAGGTTCGGGGTCCTACCTTGGTCCAGGCTTTTCCATCCACTGTCTTCTTCTCGATGAAATAGCTCTTTACTCTTTCTCCTCCATCGCACTCTGGAGCTTTCCAGGTGAGTCGGCAGGTTCCCCTTGTCACGTCACTGACCTTCAGGTCTCTTGGAGGTCCAGGCAGGTCTGCGGATCAACAAACCAATAAATTAAAATCTAAAAGCATCACCCAAGTGATACTGTAAGATCAGAGGTAAACGCAACCTTGCATTTTACTGTACATGTTAAATGAGAATATGATAAATAAAATCCGTGAATCTTTACATACCGAGCACGTTGACTCTGACTTTGACCACCTTGTGTCCAGCGGGGCTCTCTGCATTGATGATGTATCGGCCGCTGTGGTTCAGTTTGCTCTCTGGGATCGTGACCACCGAGGTTGTGTCGGTGGAGTGGATCTGAAATGAAACACAAGTCACAATTTATGTATTTTCAATGTTCTTAAAGTTGATGTCCTAAAAGCTCAATGTTTTGGTGATGACTCAATTGAAGTTGGGATATTTTAACAATAATTAAAATATTTTACTCTGAGTGGTCTAACCTCTGAGTCAACGGGCAGTGTGTGGAGTTCGTTCTTCTTCTCGGACTCTGCGGTTCCATCGAAGGTCCAGGTGACTTTGGGAACAGGGCGTCCTGTGATGGTGGCGGGAATCCTGATGGGTGTTCCAGCTCTGCAGTTCAGCAGGTCATGAGCACTCACATCCAGAGTCACCGTCGGCTCGACTGGAGAACAAACAGACAAAAACAAACAGCTTATTTATTTGTATTCTGGTAAACAATCCATGCTAAATTTCATTGAGATCAACAATTGTTTTACAAGAGAAAATGTTAATGTTGAGCGATATTTTATGTGAAATTGTAAAGAAACTCTGCTAACTAACTTATTATTCTGTGCTGAATCTTATTAAGAGTATGGATCTGATTAGGAACAGGATGTGTGTCGCTCTTACTCAGGATATCCTGAACCAGGATATCGGCTGTCTTGGCAGGCTCTGAGTTTCCGGCAGCGTTCACGGCGTAGATCCTGAACTTGCACTTCTTGCCCTCTTTCAGGTCGGGCACAGTGATTTCCGTGGATGGGTGGAGCTTGTCGGCAGGATTCACCCTCCTCCAATCGGGAGAGCCCTCCTCGTGGACCTCAATGATGTAACCCTTGATGGGGCTGCCACCGTCTTTGTCAGGTGGGCTCCACTTGAGCGTGATGCTGCTCTTGGTTTTGTCTTTAACCTCGGGGGAAGCAGGTGGGCTGGGACGGTCTGGGAGAGGAGCAGAGAGGTGGTGAAAGGTCAGTGTTTATAATCAGTCTTTATGGTGCAAACATTTTAGCATTAAGGCTCTGTGTACTCTGGTTTTTACCCTAATACTCTAAACCTATTTTAGGTGGTAAGAGGGTTAACACTCACTGCATGGATCCACAGCAAAGCGGCATTCAGAGGCCTCGCTGGGTGGTCCGACTCCCGCAGCGTTGGAGGCTGCAATCCTGAACTGGTACTCGGTTCCTTCGATGAGCCTGAGTACGGTGTACTGCAGACCCTTCACTGCGGGTTTGGTGACTGGAGCTCGGTTGACACGACCCCAGTATACGGCGCCGCGCTCTCTCTTCTCCAGCCAGTATCCCTGGATGGTGGAGCCGCCGTTGTCGAGGGGAGGATCCCAGGTCAGGGTCATGGTGGTTGCTGTAGCGGCAATTATTTTAGGATTACGTGGAGGTCCGGGGAGGCCGAATGGATCCCTGAGTTGGACTTTCTCTGAATCGCAGCCGTCGCTGACGCCATACTTGTTCTCAGCTTTGATCCTAAACTGGTAGGTACCGTTCAAGTTCAGTTTGTAGACCTGAAGGAGCAGAACAGGAACATTAATCAATAATTTATTTAATGTTCTCCCATTCCTCTGTTATCAAACTCAGAAAGTATTTAAATGAAGCAGTCTATTAGGTTTTGAATGATATATAATCAACACCAATGGATCAAAACATCCCAGTTTACTTTTCACTTCAGCCAGGACTCACCCCAAATCTCCTGTCGATGAGGTTGATAGTCAAAACCTCGAAGTCAGACTTTTTCTTGCTGGCGTCCCTACGCTCCACAATGTAGTTGGTGATCTCACTGCCTCCATTGTCATCCGGGGCGTCCCAGGTCAGGTAGCACGAGTCTGCCTTGATGTCTGAGACTACAACGTTCCTCGGAGGAAGAGGGCGGTCTGAAAACACATGGTTTGGTTAACATATGGTTCATTGTGTTTGTACAGTATATTTAACTCCACTAGATGACAGAAACTAAACCTGATGTGGAAAATGACACGTGTAAGATTCCGTTTTTTTGAGACATTATCTTACCGAGGATCTCGACTCGGATGACATGCTGTGCTTTGCCGTAGCAGTTTTCAGCCACCAGCTTGTAGTTGCCCTTGTCCTGTCTGATTGTGACTGGCATGGCAATCTTAGTCTTCAGAGTCGTCCGGTCCACCTGAAGATGAGAATGAAAATTATGTATGAAGCACAATATCATACACAAGGCAGTTTCAATATGCTTTATAAATATTGAAACATCCACTGGTGCTGAGCTTAGGGTTCTGGTTAGGCATATAGAGGTGTGGTTAAGTTAGGTGTTACAGGTAGAGTTAGGGGAGGTTAAAGGATTTAATAATTATGAGCTTTAAGCGCTCATTCTCAGATCTTGAATGCAGCTAACATGAGAAACTAAGCAAAAATTGCTGGACGCACAGTTTGAGTGAAATCCATGAACATATATCAGTTTTTACCTCCTCAGTCTCCATCGTCATCTTCTCTTCATCAGGCTTCTCGATCACCACATCGTCCTTCATCCATTGGAGCGTTGGCAGAGGAAGTCCCTTCACCTCTGCTGGGATGTCGATGGCCGAGCCTTTTTTCACAATGATGGCGTTGCTCTTGAAGAACTTCAGGATGGTGATAACTGGTGCGACTATGGACATAAATATTTGTAAATTTCATGCTGTTGCTTACATCAGCCTAAATAGCCTGATAAAATCAAATATCTTTAAAGATTTTAAAAGTGAATTTCTTACTTTCATCGTCCTGGATCCTGGCAGTGATGGGCTTGGAGGGATCTCCGTCCCCAACCTCGTTCACAGCTTTGACACGGAACAGGTAGTCCTGGTTCTCAGACAGGTTCTCAATGGTCCCGCAACACTCTGTGAAGATCTTGCGGTTTGCCACATCGTATTCATTGCTGTCCGACCTCATCTTCTCAACGTAGTAGCCTCTGATTGGGCTGCCACCATCGGTGCGAGGCGGCTGCCAAGCCAGGGTGATGGTGGTCTTGCTCCTGTCGGTGTAGTGCAGTTTCTCGGGAGCAGATGGAGTACCTAAAACATTGTGAATGAGTTTGGTCAACACAGATCTTCTATGCTATTTCTTTGATATATTTTAGAAAAATTGTCATCTGATATCCAAAGTCGGACAAACTTTGATGGATTTACCTTTTGGATCCTCGGCCAGGATGGGTCCAATGTCAGATGGAGCTCCGTCACCGTACTTGTTCCTGGCAACAACCCTGAAGTCGTACTCCTCACCGGACAGCAGGCCCTGGATGTCACACTTGCAGGATGCCGTCTCAATGGGCTGGCGGAAGAGTTTCATCTTGGCGTCCTTCCTCAGGATCTCGTAGCCGATGATGTCACTGCCGCCGTTGTCCACAGGGTCAGACCAGGTGAGGGTGATGTTCTTCTTGGTCACCACAACAGTCTTCAAGTCGACCACTGGTCCGGGCACATCTATGGAGACAGACCAGAAAAAAATTCTCATATGGGATCTATTAGGGGTACCTTGGGTCTCTTACTATATAAAAGTTTGTATAAATTCAGTACTGTAAGGTACAAGAAAGTAATTTTTATAAAAATAAAACCTTGATATTGTTTTATATTTATTCAACACTGACCCATAACGTCCACTCTGGTCTCTGCGGTCTTGGTGCCACTGCTGTTGGTGCCGGTGATCTGGTACTTTCCGTGATCTGACCTTACAGCCTTCTTGATGAACAGAGTGCTGTTCCTGCCCTCCGTTTCCACGATCATTCGCTCCTTGTCAGGTTCGGCTTCATCTTTAGCCCATTTGACTTCGGGCTGGGGACGGCCGATCACCAAGGCAGGAAGCTTCAGGGGCTCTCCGGCCTTGATGATGACGCCATTCTTCACAGAGACATCAAAGTCCACATTGGGAGTTTCTAAAGGACATATAGATGAGTCAGTCTTTGAGAACAGTCTTTGAACAGAACATGTTTCTTTTAGTTGTCAGACTTCCTCTGCAGCTCACAAAAAACAATAAATTATTCTCTTGACTTGAGAGCATTTACTGCGAAGCAGCAGCAGGAAGCACTGAATTGTCTTTGTCTGAAAGTCTTTTTTTGTTAATGCCAAAAACAATAAGTTCAAGTAAAGTAGCATCTTCTTGTTCCCTTACAAAACTGTCCATACCTTGAGGCTCTGTGACGGTGACAGGTTCGGTCACACCGGGAGCTCCAGGACCAGCGTCATTGACGGCTAAGACTCGGATGTAATAATCTGCTCCCTCAGTCAGACCCGTCACAGTGTAAGTCAGCTCTTTACACCTGAACTCTGTGCTGCGAGTCCACTCCTTCTCTCCAGCCAAAACCTGTGATCAGAAGACAATAGTTTAACATCACAGGTCCAGAAGAAGAGACCTGTAAATACATCATTGTTACTAGAAATCCAAGAGTCCGGTGAGGTTACTGTACCTTCTCAACATGGTATCCCAGGATGTCTCCTCCACCGTTGTACAGAGGGGGCTTCCATGCCACGATGATAGAGTCCTTCCCAGTGTCCACAATCCATGGTGTGGGGGGACCAGGAGGCACTGCATGGGGGGAAACAGATTAGTTTTCTGAGGAAATTATCAGACTTAACTCAACAGGACAATGTTTGATTGTGCATTTTGTCTGTAACTTTCAGTTGCCTTCAAAGGAATGTAATACCATAAAACACCATAAAAATGGAAGAGGAAGCAATGGCAGCAGATTGGCTGAGGAGTGCTACTACACAGCCGCAGGTTAAACTTGTACTTGGCTTTGTGATCAACAACTCAAAATTGTTTTAAAGCAAAGCAGTGTGTCTTGTTATGTTTTGGTTTCTTTTGTTTATTTTATCTCTGCTGTTGCTTGCTGTCGACCTCTAGTCTGGTCTAGGATTGGCAAACTTACGGATGGCGTCCATGGCAATGGTGCGGTCGCTGGGCTCGCTGAATGGTCCGGGGCCGGCCAGGTTCTCGGCACACACCCTGAAGATGTAGGTGAGTCCCTCCATCAGGCCAGTGATCTTCACCTCCAGAGAATTGAGGAGGGCACGGTTGACTCGAGTCCAGTGTTTGCTATTCACCTCCTTTCTCTCGATCCAGTAGCCCAGGATCGGGCTGCCGTTATCCTTTGGCTCATGCCAGGAGATGTGGGCACTGTTTGCCGTCACCTCGTGGACTCTGGGAGTGTTGGGAGCATCAGGAGGATCTGAGGGGGGAGGAGACAGGACGAGTAACTTTTGTGGGAAGGTGGCAGAAAATGTCAATGTGTTTGTTTTTAGAATCCCAATTTGCACCAGCATAAGAATTATTTTGTGTTGTGTCTTGATACAACCACCAGGGACTGACAAAGTAAAAAAAAAGTTTTATGTATAAAACGTACATTTAAAGAATTGTTTTAAACACTTTTATTATTTGTGATTGTGTTTTAAAAAGTGATGGTAATTCTGATTTATTATTAAACAATATGTACATTTAAAATTACAAAAGATTTTGTGCGTAATTTATTTGTTTTACTATACAAAAGTACAAATAAAGTAAGTATGTAGGTATCATAAAAAGGGAATCGTTAATTAAAAACTATAAATATTTATTTGAGAGTTCTGTTTATTACATGGAATTTTATGTGTATATTGTGTATTGTTCAGCCAGTCAGATTACACTGTAACTCAGTCTGAGGTCATAGGTTTAGCAGTATTTGTTAATATTTCGGATTTTTTGATCTATAAAAGGTGACCTGAGATTTTGTTTATTTTATTTTACTTACCAAACTGGTTCTTGGCGACCAGTGGCTCAGAGATACACGGTGGCCCACAGCCGAACTTGTTCTCAGCGGTGACTCTGAAGATGTACTCCTTCCCCTCGATGAGTTTGGTGATGGGGCAGCTAGTGCCCTTCAGGGTTGAGGTGATGGTGATCCAACCGATCTCATCGTTCTTGTTGTCCTTCTTCTCCAGGATGTAGTTCAGGATCTCGCTGCCACCATCGTCCTCAGGAGGCTCCCAGTTACAGATGACAGAGGTGTTCCTGATCTCATCAAAGGTGAAGTTGATTGGAGCGCCGGGTTTGTCTGCAGCAAAACAGAGTCAACGTTGAAGGGTTTTTATGGATCTGACTCAACAAACCAAACACATTTAAACAAACTATGTACCTTTAGTCACAGTCATTTTCTTTCTTTTTAATTTTGGTAAATTTTTTAAATCAAAATTCAACAATTATGAGACAAAATTGTAAATCCATTGAATAAAATTGCAATAATTTGAGTGCCACTTGTTATAAAACAGAAATTTGTTATGAGTTTCTGATTTCCATTTTTTGAAAATATAAATGTAATATTTTTATAACTAAGGACCAATTTTAACCATAACTCAACTGATTAAAAGGTTAGGTCTATTAGGAGGCCTCATGACCTGCAGGTTCAGGTATCAGGATGGATATAAGAAAACTACAGTCTTACCAAGGACGTTGACGAAGCAGGAGGCATTGGCAACACCGTGAGTGTTCTCGACCTGGATGGTGAAGGTGCCATGATCGGTTCTGACAGCATCGCGGATCATCACCACAGACTGACCCTTCTTGGTCTGATCCATACCCAGACGCTCACGCAGTGGAGTCGCGAACTCCTCAACTGGTTCAGGAACCTGAAGGTAATGAAGGCGGAAGTGAAGTTTTTTCCTTAGAAAATATGTAGAAGTACATTAAAATGTTCAGGACTCTCTGAGGACACGAACCTTGGCCTTGGTCTTCTTCTTGAACACAGGGATGATCTTTTTCGTTGGCTCTTTGGTGACGTCCTCATTTTCTCTCAGCCAGGTGACCTTGGGATAAGGGGAGCCGGAGATGTAGGCGTCAATTCGGATCTCCTCGCCCTTCTTAATGCACAAACCGGACTGCACACGGGCATGGAGGGTGACCTTAGGTTTATCTGAAAATTGAAAAAGAGTGATTAGTGTTTAGGAAGCTCTTCTTTAATGTCTGAAGCTAAAAACACTTTCTCCGGTTAAGTAAAAGATTTTCATACCAACAGGGTCTGCAGCCTTAATGGGCTGCGTGCTGCGAGACGGCTCACTGACTCCAGCGGCATTCTCGGCTCGGACCCTGAACTGGTACTCCATGTCCTCCTTTAGACCTGTCACCACATAGGAGAAACCGGGGACCAGACTTGGGGTGACCTTCTCGTAGCGGTCACCGTCCTTCTCGATCTTCTCCACGATGTAGCCCTGGATGGGACAGCCGCCGTCGTTGTCGGGAGCCTTCCAGGTGACTGTAATGGACTTGGATGTTGGATCGCAAGCCTCCACCTGGATGGGTGGGTCTGGTTTCTCTGTGAAGTCCATATGAGACAAACAGTAAATGTCTGAGCTGTCTCCATAGCTGATACTTAAGTTTAATATATTTCCATATTTTTATCACATTTTATTGACAGGTTTGGAGGTCCTATTGCTTAATTTAAAATTGCCCCTGTGGGTTATTGAGCTAAAACCATGACTTACGTTTGACTTCCTCTGTGATGACCGGGTTGCGTAGCTCTAGATATTCTCCGGCTCCGACCTTGTTGAGGGTCTTCACTCTGAAGTAGTACTCGCAGTTGACATAGAGGTCTTTGACGGTGTAGGTCAGGATGTTTTCTCCTGACATGACGGGCATGTAGGTCTTCTTGGAGGCCTCACGGCGCTCCAGGGTGTAGCTGACAATCGGGGTGCCACCATCGTCCTCTGGGGCTTCCCAGCTAATCTTGCAGGAGTTCTTGGTGGGTTCGCTGGAGGTGATGTCCTTACACTGACCGGGGAGACCTATAGGGTTCAGATGGGAAGAAAAAATGTGTAAGGGTGATTGTTCTTTCTGGTGAAATACTATATATCCAAAAATGGTGCTAATAGCAGGGCTACTGGCAGGTTTTCAGAATTACTGAGGTCATTATATTCCCCATAATCTATCTGAAATGCAACAACTTCATTGGAAATCAGTGGTTAGGAGTGGTGTACAAATACTTTATGAACATATGAACAAAACACGCTGTTATGTTTCCCAAGCACAGTAACATAAAGGACATCCTACCGATGACTTTGACATTGATTGTCCCGGTGGCAGTTCCCAGACTGTTCTCCAGGGTGATGGCATAGGTGCCGGCATCGGCACGTTTGCACTTAAGCAGCTCCAGGTGAGCACTGTTCATCTCCACTGTCATGGAGAGCCGGTCGTCAGCCTTGCACTCCACTGTGTCCTTCTGCCAAACCATCTTGGGTGTTGGGATTGCCCTATAGGGGATGTTCAGGTGCAGCTTCTCACCCTCAATCACGACCACGTCCTGTGCCTCCAAATTTATGGTTGGAGCACCTTGGGACCAGAGAACAGGGTTATTAGTAAGGGTAAATTATTAGTGTTTTGATTGCACTTCTTTTAAATTGAAATTCTGTCAATGCTTACAGTCGGGATCCTTGGTGAAGACCTTGTCAGAGATCTCAGAGGGATCGCTAACACCAACAGAGTTGATGGCACGGACCCTGATGACATACTTCTTCTCTGGTTTGATTCCATCATCAATCCTGAAGTTGAGCTCCTTGATGGGTCTGTTGTTGACTCTGAGCCACTTTAGCTCAGGACGAGCCTCGGCCACCTCCACATGGTAGCCGGTGATCGGGCAGCCGCCATCTTTAGCTGGAGGTTTCCAGGTGACGTTGATGTGCTCCCTGCTGGCATCAGGGATGGTCACTTCCAGAGGAGGAGATGGAGCACCTGTACAGAAAGGAGGATGTCTGAGGTTACATCTGAAATGTTTTCTTCATGGTTGTGTTGTATAGATCTTTAAAAACTGCATTCATCAGCAGAATGCCACAAGGACAAATCCCTCCATCTGTGTTTGCTATAAATATTTGAGGGTCTCTTACTAGTTGCATCCTCTATGGTGAGGATCTCGGTGGGTTCACTTGGATCTCCGACTCCAGCCTCGTTCTCGGCTCTGACCTGGAACTGCACCTCAGACCCTTCGTCCACATCTGTCACCTTGAACTGAGTCTGTCTGTCTGGAGTCTTGCAGCACTTCAGCCAGCGAGTTCCCAGCTTCTCTTTCTTCTCAATTACATACCTGGGAAGCAAAAGGGGATTGTCTTGTTGAATAGTTATATCAATTAATATTTATATCTGGTGTCTCAAACACTATAAAGGGGAACTAGGATTACATTTATAGAGTTGATTTCCATCCCCTCTTCTCTGTTATTTTTGTAAGAAAGTCTGAATGGTAAGATTAGCTTCATGGCCATTGTCTGCTTCATTAGCAATTGACAGTAGTTTTACAGCAGTTTGTAGTCTTACTTGGTTATGGGTCTTCCACCGTTGCTCTTGGGAGCTTCCCATTTCAGTTCCACGTGTCTCTTGGTGACCTCTACCACTGTCAGGGCATAAGGGGGTCCAGGAGTTGCTGCAGAGAACATGACAAACATTAATAACCAGACAGTTTGGCTGTAGCCTCTTTTCTTTGCAGTCCTACTCAGGATCAATAAATAACACAGAAAGCTATCCACTGGGCTTGGCTTATATTAGGACTAGGAAACGGTTGGTTGATTGACGCAACAATATGAAAGTGTTGGACAGAACAAACATCCTGATGATGTTGAAGTTTTAAATTTGGCGTGAATTAAAAGGGATAATAAAATACTCACAGATGAAAACCCATAATCCTGAAAACTGTTGCAAACTTACTGAAAGTGTCTTTGGCGAGAACTGCATCCTCTAGCTCACAGTATTCACCCATTCCCACGGCATTCTCTGCAGCAACACGGAACACGTACAGCGATCCTTCATTAAGAGGAGTGACCGTGTACTTGAGCTCCTTGACGGTGGTGTCGACAGACTGCCAGGCCTTACGCCTCACATCCCTCTTCTCTACCACGTAGTTAGTGATGGGCGAGCCTCCATCGCTGCTGGGAGCCTGCCACTTCAGGTCGGCGTTAATCTTGGTGATGTTACTCACCTCCAGCCACTGGGGGGCGGACGGAGGGTCTGTTGAATGAAAAACAGGAAATTGGTAAATGAAAGGCAGGCAGTGTAACACGCACATGTTTTCATTAATTCATTAATGAACTCATGGTCATACATGACCTGTGCTGAGGAAGTTTTTGTATCCCTGATGGTAGACAGGGATAATAACCCCCACAGACAAGTTTTACAGTATATAGTGGTCTATAGTTGTTGTGTTGCTTAAATTGAGGTATGAGTACTGGCCAAAGGACTTTTTAAGGAAATAGAAGAAGAGGTATGTTTAATAAATAAAACTGTACTGGCCAAAAAGATATTTAGATGCATAATTATATTAAGATATATTAAGATGCAACTATATTGAAGTTTTCAGACCAACTCCAAGTTAACTTTTTAAGTTTTTTAAAAATGTTTAAAGGCTACAGTCCTCTCAGACATAACCCTGTCCACCCTCCTTATGCCCTAAAGTTGGACTTACAAAGTCTCTCCTTGCAGACCACAGGGTCGCTGGGCTCACTGGGTTCGCTCTCGCCAGCTTTGTTTACAGCCTTGACCCGGAATGAGTACTCCTGCTTCTCCATCAGGCCTTGCAGCTGGTGCTCAGTCTGAGGAATGTCCTCTGCAATGCGGATCCATTCCTCGCTTCCAGTCTTCTGGAACTCGATGATGTAGCCTTCGATCTTTGCCCCGCCATCATGCTCCGGCCTGGTCCATGCCAGTAGGGCTGTGGTCTTGCCAATGTCCCTGATGACAGGTTTACCAGGAGCCCATGGAGGATCTGAAGAAGAATGTGGTGTTATTAAAATCATCCAATTACTCTTCCAATCTCATAACTCTTACTCCCTATCCCATTGCCCCATCTCCCGATCCCATTACTCTTACTCCCAATCCCATTAACCTGACTCCCAATCCTATTACTCTTACTCCCAATCCCATTATTCCTACTCACAATCCCATTAACCTGACTCCCAATCCTATTAACCTGACTCGTGATCCCATTACGCTTTGATTAGGTTTGACTGAACCTAAGTAGAGTTCACTGTGGCATACCAATGGGATCTTTGATGAGGACGGGATCGGTCTCTGAGCTTGGTTTTCCAGGTCCAGCCAGATTCTCAGCCAGAACACGGAAGCGGTACTTCTTCTTGGTGGGAAGTCCCTTCACCCTGCAACCACATCAAAGCAGGGTTAGACAATATGTTCTCCATCTTTTCTTTACATATAAATATCTTTCACCACGTTGTGTGATGGATTTTAATCATTATTCGTGTTATTTGAAGTGTCATCATTTACCTGAAGGTTGTGTCCTTAATGGGCAGTTTGTTGCATCTGATCCACTTGTCACTCTCTGGATCAAACTTCTCAACCCAGTATCCGGTGATGGGATTGCCGCCGTCCTCATCCGGCTCAAACCAGGTCAGTGTCACAGCATCCTTCGCAATGTCAGAGGGTGTGACTCTGGTTGGAGGACCAGGAGGATCTGAAACAAATAAAAATTTAAATGATTTATCATTAGATGTATATATTTTACAATGTGTACTTCTTAAAAATGGACCATTTTGGATAGACAGAAAAAAAAAAAAAAACAACATACCGAAGGAATACTTTGCAATGATTGGAGTATGCTCTGCAGGTTCGCCTATGCCGTACTGGTTCTCAGCGCTGATCCTGAAAATGTACTCCTTCATAGCTGTGAGCTTGCAGGCCTTGAAAGTGGTGTGTTTCACCGTGGCTGACAGCTTCACCCACTCCTCTTTGTCTGTCTGCCGACTCTCCACAATGTAGTTAGTGATGGGTGAGCCGCCGTCATCCCTGGGAGGGTTCCATGCCAGGGAACATGACTCGTTGGTGATCTCTGAGATGTCGAAGGCAGCTGGAGGGCCAGGTTTATCTAAAGAGGAGGAGGTAAAACGGAGAAAGATGGCAATATCTCAGTTTCAGGAACAGACCTTGCGAAACATTCCGACACTAGCACGACTTCATATGAGGTTGACAAATTTTTTGACATTGATAAGATTGAAGAAGCTTCTGTACCAAGAATGTTGACATCGATGGTGGCAGTGGCACGTCCGCAGGCGTTGACTGCCTCGATGATGTAGGTAGATGTGTCTCCTCTAGTGGTTTTAGCAATGGACAGCTTGGAGTGTCCCGGCTGGGTGTCGATGGTAATGCGGTCATCTGCCCGCAGGACCAGGTCAGCCTTTGTCCACTTCACCCGGGGATCAGGCTTTCCTTTAACATCGGCTGGAAGCTCGATCTTGGTACCAGCCCTGGCGGTCAGACCAGCCAGAAGCTTCACATCTAGCTGGATCTCTGGAGGCTCTGTTGGAATTGTTGGAAAGTGTAAGAGAGAACAAAACACGAGGGTTTGCTCAAAATCCACACCCTTTGCAGAAAATTACAATTACCCTTTACACTCACTCCTGATCTGATTACCCTTACTCCTGATCCCATTAACCCTGCTCCCGATCCCATTAGCGTTACTCCTAATCCCATTACTGTTACTCCTAATCCCAATACTCTTACTCCAATAGAAATATTTGGTAGTATGGTGGTTTTGTCTATCCTATCCTGGTCAAGCTGACACAATGCAATACTATTCCTGTTCTTGGTCTGAAATTAGGATGTAGTATTGAGGGATTAGAAGGAGCACTAGCTTGCGTACCTCTGGCATCGACGGCCTGGATCTCATCGGTGGCTCGGCATGGTCGGCTGGCTCCCAGTTTGTTGAAAGCTCTGACTCTGTAGGCGTACCACTGACCCTCGATCAGGCCGGTCACCTGGAACCTGTGAGCACACAACATATATTATACACAACTGTTCCAAAATATAGAACAGGACACAAATCAGAGAACTGTTAAGCAAGGAAACAAAATGCTTTTGTAGAAGTCATTACACATTAGTTTCTTAAACACTGTTATCACTCTGAAAAACTGTAAACACTCACTTCAATTCTGGGACGGGATCGCCGCAGGGTTCCCACTTATCAGTACCACGCTGACACTTGTCCACCACGTAGCCTTTGATTGGGGCACCACCATCGTACTTCGGAGGCTCCCAGGACAGGAAGATGCTCTTGCTGCTCTTGTCGCGCCACTTCAGGTTCTCAGGAGGATCGGGTATAGCTGGGGAAGAAGAATCATAGTGAAGATTTGTATCTGGTGAAAACTTGAAATCTCTACAACAAAATTTTATCAAAAACAAAGGAAACATATGCCCTCTTTTTTAGTTTAGTTTGTGTAAATACTCACTGGCAGGAGAGGACACATTGACGGGCTCGTCAATATATGCCGGCTCTCCGGGTCCACACTTGTTGCAGGCGGTAACACTAAACAAATACTCCTTTCCTTCAATTACATCTGTTATGGTGTGCTCCAGGTCCATGATGCCGGTTGCAACCTAGAAAACACATAATTGCAATGGTGAGGAATTAACACAAACACTACCGTAGACTCAATCGTCTTATTTTCAGCAGCGCTGCCTCAAACAAAAAAAACTCACTTCACTTCTTTTTTTGTGGGGTTAGGGTGCATGAAAAGGCAATATACAGCTGTGTGGGTGCTAAATGCTGAACCTCTGCCATGCTTTATTTTGGGCACCCTACAGCCAACAAATGTAATCAAAATTCAACTTTCACCTTCAACTATGTTCAAAAGAGCTATATATATATATATATATTATATATATATATATATATGGATGGATATGTTTCAGCTCTTTACAATAGTTTTACTCTTTTCCTTTCAAGGAAACCCACCTTGATTTGCTTTTGTGTTACAGTACACAGCACACAGCCTGAAGACAGTCTCAACTTTTAACAATTTTCACTACCAACAGCAAATTTAAATATACTTGCATCTTTAAAATGACACAGTATACAATCATGCTACTGCTTCACTTTGTGTTTTCTTAGCACAGTTTAAGCCTACAAAGACTCATCAGTCTGCATTCAAGACCTTCCTGTAGATTCTCTCACGGCACTACAGAGGTAAACACCCAGGTGTACCTTGGCCCAGGTCTTGCGAGACACTTCTCTCTTCTCGATCTGATAGTGGGTGACCGGACTTCCTCCATCGTGCTCTGGAGCCTCCCACATCAGGTGGACGTGTTGTCGGGTTACTTCAGCCACCTTGAAGTCCTTGGGAGCACTGGGGCATGCTGGAAAAATAAAGGTATTGAACAATAAATTAGGTGGCGTACACCCTGAAGAGGTTGCTAGTCTACCATACCAGGGCAATTTGTCTACTTTTCATTAAAATAAACTCACCATTAGCATTAATATTTTGCATTTGCTTACACTTTATTATAAAATTGTATTTTGAATTTAAGAAAAAATGCAGTTACCAATGACGTTGACTTCGATCTCTCCAGAGACAGATGAAACGTCATTCTCCAACTGCAGGGTGTAGGTGCCTTTGTCTGGACGGACACTCGGCACGACCGTCAGCTCTGTGTACGTGGGCTTTGTCACCATGGAGACGCGATCGTCTGCGGTGGTCAGCTTCTTCTCTCCGAAGGTCCACGTGGAGACGGGGGTTGGGTATCCGGTGATGGGGACTCTGATGGTGAGAGGCTGGGGCACAATCACCTCCAGACCGTTTCTGAAAGCACTCAGGTCAAAGGTTGGACCGACTGCGAAAAGAGAAAAATGGGTGAGTTATACTACCATCTACTAGATTACTGCTTCAGGAATCAAAGAGAGCTCCTGAATTCCAATTTACTTTTAATTCTGAATTAAAAAAGTATCGCATGGGTCCATCTTTCCTTAATAATTTCCTAGACAGCTTTTTGGAAAGAACTATGTAACTTTAATTATAGGACAATGAGACAAAGTTCTGTCACTTAGCATTTTGTTAAATGTGAATTTATTAGTCATTTATTACCAGAAAGCTTGTTCTTAAGGCAACGTGATGTATATCCTGGGAAATTGTTAAGAAATTATAGACCCAAAAAGAGTAGCAATGATAATCTGAAGCTAATCAAACCAAGACTTCACTGAAGCAAAAACAAGTATACATACAACCATGTTGTTTATGGCTGCATCTTTACATAATATGTCAATATTGTAGATTTCTAGTGTGTTAGTTTACTCATGTTTTGTATCTTTGAATATCTTTAGGATTTTGAATCAATTTCGTACTATGAGGGTCATCGGCGAGCAGCGGTCCGAGTTGCTCGGCTGGATCGGAGACACCGGCTGCGTTCTCAGCACAAACTCTGTAAAAGTACTTCTGACCCGGTTTCAGACCAGACACCTAAAGAGAACAAGCAAACAATAACAACATATACATAAAGTCTTATATTTATTCATACAGGCATTAAACACAGGCTGGCTATTCATACAACCTATTTGTTGCTGATGGTCCATTTGCACTATTGTATGTTGTGTATTTTGTGTATATTGTATATTTTTTTGCAGTAAACTCTGTACCCGGTAAGAGAGGTCCTGACAAAGTCTGGCGTTGCAGCGGAGCCACTTGTAGATGCCGTCGTCGCATTTCTCAATGATGTAGCCGGTGATCATGCTGCCACCATTGCTGGTGGGCGTCTCCCAGGTGAGTGTGACTGATGTTTTGACTTGGTCACTGAAGTTCAGGTTCAGAGGCGGGCTCGGCCTCTCTGCAGTCACAACCAAAAAGGACCAATGAAATGAGATTGTGGTGGTTTTTACAGGCATGAGATCCAACAACAGTCGAACCGCAGGTTTTCACTCACCAATGGGATCCATTATCTTGACTGGGTTGGTCGCAGCGCTGGGCCTGCCGATGCCAGCCTTGTTCTCGGCTCGGACTCTGAAAATGTACTCCTTGTTCTCCACCACGTCATTAAGTGCTGCTGAGCGGTCATTGGCTCCACAGACCATGGCTGCCTCCCACTTTACAGAGGTCCTGTCACGGAGCTCAATCACATAGGCGGTGATCTCAGAGCCGCCGTCGAACCTGGGAGGCTCCCAAGTGACAGTGGCACCAAACCTGTTCACCGTTGCGACTGCTACGTTCTCCGGAGCATCTGGAACGTCTGATGGTAGAAATCAAATATGAAGTATTGGATTGGATTCAAGTGTGGGGACGGTATGTCAATGTAAGTGGGGGTGTTTCTTACCAAACTTGTTCTTGGCCTGGACGGCATCCTCGAGGGCAACAAGGGGTCCGCTGCCGACTCTGTTTCGGGCGCAGACTCTGAACAGGTACATGGAGTCCTTCTGGAGGCCGCTGACACAGTACTCTGGGGTATCAGCACGGTCTGTAGCCAAGGTCCAGGTCTTACGCTTCACATCTCGTCTCTCCACCACATAGGCGATAATCTTGCTTCCGCCATCGCTCTCAGGTTCCTCCCAGGCCAAACTGACTTCACCATCGGTGGTGTCGACCACTCTCAGGTTCTTGATGGGTCCGGGGACGTCTGTAAAGAGCAACATGACATTTAAAAACTCTTCTGAGATCCACCTCTCATACATAATCTAGCAGTTCACCCATGATTGATTCAAACCCACAGACTCACCAATCACATCCAAGTTAATGAATGCCTCTCCCACGCCATGCTTGTTCTTAATCACCACCTTGTACCGGCCCTGGTCCTCCTTGCCGGGGCTCTTTAGGCGGTACTCAGTCTTATCGATGGAGGTGTCAATGTTCTGCACAGGCAGACTGGTGCCCGCAAAGACCCACTCAGCATCTGCACGAGGGTATGCGTCGTAAGGCACGCTCATGACGAAAGGCTTACCGGCATCCGTTACGAGGTTCTGGTCAGTAGTTTTGATCTTTGGAACAGCTGTAGAGGAGATAAAATATATTTTTTAATTGACCTTATTCATTTATATCTTCAGCTGTTTGACCAAACTGTGACCCTTAGTTCCAGGAGAATCCCAGTGTTGACTCACCTGCCAGCTCCAGCTTGGCTCTGGCATCCTTGTCTTTGGCCACAATCCTGTACTCTCCCTGATCCCGAGGTCTGATCTCACAAACCTGCAGTCTGTGGATTTTACCCTCGCTGATCATCTGGTATTTGTCTCCCTGGACAATGATCATGTTGTTCCTCATCCACTTCACCTCCACTCTGTCCTTGTTGAGCTCCACCTCGAACACAATGTCTGAGCCCGGAGGTTCGAACATGTCGTGAGGAGGTCTGACAATTTCCACTGGGGTCTCTGGAGGAAAGAAAGACCATGTTACATGTGATGATTCAAAAGAGGAAATATTCGCCTCAGTGGTTTGTGATGACAGATGAGGAGATCTGAAGAACTTACCTTCAACAAAGAGCCTGGCTCTGGTCCTCCTCTCATCCACACCACAGGCATATTCACATTCATCATCAGGTCTGCATACCTTGATGATCAGTCTGCACATCTTGCCTTCTTTTTCCATGTGATATCTTCAAGACAAAGATAATGAAAATCTTAATTTAACCTAGTGCCATATGTAAGATTCTTAAGCATTTTGTTTTTATGTATCACTTTTAACAATAATTAGCTTTTAGCTGGATAACGATAGCTTGCTTGCTAAGCTACAAAACAAACGATTCCTTTCTACTAGCCAAGAGCGATGCAAGGCAGGGGCATCCAACTGACTAACTGTGTGAGGTGTAAATTCTGTTTCAAGACAAAAGTTTTTTATTAAGCATCTCTGTGATACCTGGGTCCTTCTCTGATCTCCCGTCCATTCCTGTACCACTTCACCACAGCCTTCTCCTTGCTCAGCTTGCAGGTGAACTCTGCATCCTCGAACTCTGTGATGGTCTGGTCTTTGAGCTGTGCCGTGAAGTCTGTCGGTGCCTCGCTGATGATCAGCTCGGCTGCGCACTTGTCGTCTCCGACCACGGCGGTGTACTCGCCCTCATCGTCCATCACACAGTCCTTGATGGTCAGGCTGTGTTTGAGGTTGTCGACTCTGTAGACAATGCGTTTGCTGAGCGTCACCTCCTGGCCGGCCTTCATCCACTTCACTGTCACTTCTGGCCGGTTCACCTTACAGATGAAGCTGATGGTCTTCTTCTCCTGAGTCTCGATGTCCTCGATGGGGTCCAGGAATTTCAACTTCTCCTCTGTGGACAGACAGAGTGAGAAAACAGTGAATAATTATAATTTCTTTCTCTATTTTTATAAGTTTTATGAGCAGTTGCACACATCAGCACTTCAGGAAACAATGGGGTCTTTGGCAACGAAAGATCTAATGCTGTTATTTACCTGCGACTTTAGCTCTGGCAGTGCATTTGGCCTGCTCTGCTCTCTGATTGGTCAGGTTGATGGTGTAGCTGGCCTCGTCGGCCTTCTGGGCGTTTTTGATCCTCAGAGAGAAGACATTGTCCCTCTGAGACATCATGTACTTGCTGCTCTCGAATATGGTCTCCTCGTTCTTCAGCCACTTGGCCTTCGCTCCCTCTGTGTTCATCTCACAGTTGAACACAATCTCACTTCCCTCCTTCACCTCTGTGTCTTTAATCGGCGTGATGATCCTTAGTTTTTCTGAAACAGAAGACAAACTTGTTAAAACCAAACATACGCTCTGAAATAACCTAAGCGAAGCTGTGGAAAAAGAAAACACGAGTCTTACCAATCACATACAGATCAGCCGAGGCTTTAACGCTCCCGATGTGGGCAACGTAACCTCCCTCATCCTTCAGTTCGCAGTTTTTCACAATAAGAGCTCTTCTCTTTCCTTCGCTGATGATGGTATATTTGTCCCCGGACTCGAGCTCCTTGTCACCTCTGAACCATTTTACCTCGTAGGTTTCTTTGGAAACGGAGCAGGCGAACTCGGCCTTCTCACCCTCCACCGCCTCCTGGTTCTGAGGACGGGCGATGAATTCGGCTGCAAGTTCTGGAAAGAGGAAGAAGAAGAGGAGAAAGAGTTAGAGTTTCTTCTTTGTTTTCTTCTAACAATATAACATAGATTAGCGTAGCACATAGCATATCTAAGTACTTTAACTGCTCTTCCTCGCCAGTGACACAATCATTTATTATTTTTTTCTCACCGTTGAGTTTGAGTGTGGCGGACGTCTTGACCGTTGTACTCAGCCTGCAGTTGTACTCTCCGGCATCCTCCAACCTCAGGTCCTGGATGATCAGGATCCTCTTGCGTCCATCCATGATCTGCTCGTAGCGGCCGCCCTCTGGCAGCTCCTCTTCTCCTCTGTACCACGTGACCTCGGCACTGGCCTTGGACACCTCGCAGATCATCTTCACACTGTCCGTCTCCATTCCCTCAACATTGGACAGGTTCTTGGTGAACCTGGCTGCCTCCTCTGAGACCAGACACACAACAGCAAAAGGTTTAATGTGGACATTAAGTTTTGTCTCCTTCTCTTTTCTCCAGGTTTTATCTCGTTTCCAATAAACTATTACAGGATTTCGGAAATGCTACATTTAAAGGGTCCATATGTCAGATTATGAAACATTTTATTTGTATGTATTTTTTGTTTCTGAGTAGTGAATGAACGGGTTGTTACGTAGCGACTTCCAGATGATGTTAGCTTGCTTGTTAACACAAATTAATTGCTAAATATGATTGTCAGTTATTTTATAGCGTTCAGTGTTTGTCACTGTTGGCCGACGCCCAGGATG